CAATAGTTAGAAGTTGGTAATCTTAAAATAATTGATTCCTTAGTAGCTTTAATAATTTCTTATAAATATATGATTTGATCAGTTTTTTGTTTAGAACATTTTTTAGGTCTTTTAGTAATTACGTTAATTAGCTAATTCTTTGTAGTGTCATTATTGTCCTAGATTCTCTTAGAAAAAGAAACATTCTGGGTCTACCCGTCGTCAGATAGACTGGAACTAAATTAAAATGTACCGACTATTATGGTAATTATAGCAAAATAATTACCGTAGTATGCTTTTAGCGATCTCTAACGAGGAAAGAGAAAGTGAATTTTGATAGCATTTAAAGTAAACTGTATACCCAAGCTTAATCAAGCCCTTCATAGCGATGCTAAGAACATTTATATTCCACTATACATCAACCATTTACCCATATCTTTTCTCTGAGAGGTTGCTAAAAGCATACTATTGTAATTATTTTGCTGTACGTAATTGCCATACTAGTCGGTAAGTTTTGATTTAGTTCCAGTCTTCTTATAAGTCACTCTGATGACAGGTAGACTTAGTTTTTAAGCCAATTGCTCAGTTTTATGTTACTTTTAAATTAATTTTTGTGGATCTCAGATTAATCTCTTTAATATTGTTCTGAAGCTATTTTCTTGTGGCATCTTCTTGAAATATGATTTAGTTCTTTTAAATTCTCAGATTTTGTTCATGACTTCGACGTGACATACTCCGAGTGAATTTTTTAGTTTGTAAATAAATTTTTATATGTTTTGTTAGTTTCTCAGATAGTTATTATTAGTTTTTAGTTGATTTTTTTTGTAACTTGACTTTGTTTGATACGAGTTTTTCGTTTACTTTTTAGTTTGCAATTAGTTTTTTTCGATTCTTTGATATTTAAAAAGTTTTTAATTCAATTCTTGTATTCTTTATCGCCAACTATAACATATTTTATCTTTGCCCTTACGCAATGCCATCATGATGAAACATATAAGTTGACATAGTAGTTATCAAATGACACAATACTTAATCGATATGTTAAACGTTTTAGCTATTACATGTTAAACATTTTTATAATATAAACATACAAATAGGTATTCTAACGACAGAAAAATGTTGAATTAAAAAATTAACTGCAGCTGATGGTTAAAGTTGGCGATTTAGAAATGTCGACAGTTTTAGTTATAGCGTGAATAAATGTGAAGATGGAAACGACGAATGCGAAATTCAACGAGAAGCTTATTCCACTATTCTTACAATTTTTTATGTTAACTGAAGTTATTTTGGTTCTGGTCTTTGTTATTGTGTTCCGTAGCAACAGCAGTGAAGTGACAAGTGAGTGTTAAAAATTTACCATTTCTTGAGATAATGTTTAGATACAAATTTGATAGATTCTTTACATACATTTCTTTGTTCTTCTTCTTACGGTGCCTTATCATTAAGGACGTTGACCATTACATTTGCCCATTAGATTTATTTGTAGCAGCCCCGAATAGTTCTATGGAGGTCATGTTCGTCCATTGCCGTAGGTTTTTAAGCCAAGAGTTGCGTCTTCTTCCTGGTCCTCTTTGCTATTGACATTATCGACATCCTTCGATTATAAGTTGGAGCAGTTCATACTTTTGAGTTCTTATGATGTGACCAAAATATTGTGTTTACCATTCTTTTATTATAAGCATAAGCTCTCTTTCCTTATTCATCCTCCGCAAGACTTCCGCATTTGTCGTATGGCTCATGTAGGATATTCTGAGCATTTTACGGTAACACCAGAGTTCGAATGCTTGGATCCTTTTTTGTGTTGCTTCTGTCATTGTCAGGCTTCAACACCATAGAGCAAGGTGGAGAAAACATAGCACTTAAGTATTCTACATTAAAACATTGTACGTGCCTTTTCCAGGCGTATTCTTATCTCTAGTGAGTGGTCCCAAGTTTCATCAAGATTACTTCCAAGGCACGTTGTTCTTGTTTCTCTTTCCAGATCTGTTCAGTCGACATTGACCTTCACCCTTCTGTTTTGGTGTTTGCTGATGACCATCGTTTTTGTCTTCTTTGTATTCAATTTCATTCCAAATTCTCTACAGGCTGTCGTTACTCGGTCCATTAAGCGTTGCAGGGCTTCAGCATTATCTGCCAGTATGAGAGTGTCATCAGCATATCGCAGGTTATTTATACATTGCCCGTTTATAATTATACCATCCGAGATGCCTTCCAAAGCTTACTGAAATATCTTCTCAGAGTAAATATTGAACAGCAAAGGTGATAGGACACATCCCTGTCTTACTACCTTCTCGATATTGATTTTTCCAGATGTTTCGCTTTTTATTCTGATTTTAGCCTTTTGTTCTTGGTAGAGGTTTGAAATTATCCTTAAGTGTTTATCGTCGATATTACATTACATTTCTTTGTTAACTTATTAAATTCTGTGTAAATTCTTACACTGTTTAGTAAATTTGTCAGTTTTTTGTACATTTTTTAGTTAGTTTTAGGGACCCTTCACATATTACATAAGCAGATTTAATAAAATTATTTACCCCTCCATCCCGCCATACCTTGTCAGCAAAAGTAAGCAAAGCTATACCCTACCCTCCTTCCTATATAACGTAAACATTGTTATATGCATTGTTCTTTGAATGTATTCCGTTTTTTATTGACTCATGGGCAGCAGTTATAATTCTGGAAATAAGAATAGATTTAGGATACAGGACTTTATATATAAGGTTCTTGAACTACTAATAGATAGAACGACTAATAGATAGAATAAAAACTGAAGGAGAACGAGTGGGCTTGAAGATTAATATAGACAAGATGAAGGTAATGGAAATTTCCCTTCTTAATACAGCATACAAGATTGTGTCCCTGATACTTAACGAACGACTGGCACGGTATACTGACAATATAATAGGATCCTATCAAAGAGGCTTCTTGAAAAACAAATCTACCATTGATCACATATCATCTATCAGACAAATATTAGAAAAAACGACGGAGTACGACATAGACTGCCATTACATCTTCGTAGACTTTAAGGCAGCGTACGATACTATTGACAGGTCCCAATTATATTCGGCGATGATCGAATTAGGAATACCAAAAGGTTTGGTAGAATTAATTAAAATGACAATGATGAAAGTCGAATGTAAAGTGCGCGTACAAGGGGATGTTTCAAAACCATTTAAAACCAACAGAGGACTACGCCAGGGAGATGCGCTATCGTGCACGCTGTTCAACCTAGCGTTAGAAAAAGTTATGAGAGATTCGGGAATAAACTTAAAAGGTACGATATATACCCGTAGTATACAAATAATGGCATACGCTGATGATATCGTCATAATTGGAAGAACCCAAAATGAAGCAGTGGAGGCTTTCACACGTATCAAAAATGCCACAGAAAACATCGGACTTCTGATTAACATCCAGAAAACTAAATATATGCCGGCCATATCAAAAATTCAACAAAATAACTTAGAGGTGCAACACGAAACGATAGAAATGGTAGAAGAATTCTGCTACTTAGGATCACTGGGCCCTCAACTAAGAGCGAGAAGTATGTCAATAGCAACAAAGTGCAAACTTTATAAAACAATAATACGCCCAGTGCTCACATACGGATCGGAAACATGGACAATGACGACCCGAGATGAAGAGTTACTACGAGTCTTTGAAAGAAAAATATTGAGGACCATATTTGGCGGAGTAAACGAACAGGGTCTGTGGAGAAGGCAATATAACTTTGAACTCTATAGACTTTTTGGTGATGCAGATATTGTGAAGACCATCAAGATAAACCGCCTAAGGTGGGTGGGCCACGTTATGCGGATGGATAAGAGTGATCCCACTAAAATAACTATGCTAAATAGGCCGGTCAGAAGAAGAAGAAGGGGGCGACCTAAACTCAGATATCTGGACGATGTACAGGAAGATCTGAGGGAGATTGGGGTGAGGGGCTGGAGAAGATAGACACTCGATAGGGAAGGATGGAAGAATGTTTTGAAGCAGGCCAAGGCTCACGAAGGGCTGTAGCGCCAACTGATGATGATGAAGGTAATGGTGGTTAGTAGAACACAAAATATGCACTTGAATATAAGAGTAAACAAAAAGAACATCCAAAAGGTCCCCAAGTTCAGATATTTCGGTGGTTGCATAACTGAAGATCTAGATCCAGACATAGAGATATGTAGGAGGATTGAGCAAGCCAGAACAGCATTTACTAATATGAGAACCTTGCTAAGCAACAGCAGCATCATCTTAATGCTTCGATATCGCTTTGTAAAATGTTACATTTACTATGATGTTTTTACACGCTTCCCATTCTCCGTTTATATCCTCGTGCTTTTGTCTGTTTTCTAGCCTTCCTTTTACATATTCTTTATATTTTGTCTTTTTGCTGTTGTCTGCTGTATTTTATTTCAATTTTTTTAATTTTTGATCACTTTTCTTTTTTAATGTTTGAGATTCTGGCTCTTATTCTACTTTCCACTAGGTAGTGATCCGTGTCTGCATTTGCCCCTCATCTGATGCATACGTTTATTAAGTCTGAGTGATGTCTAGCGTCTAAAAACAATATTACGTCTAATATTGTCTTTATCTAAGGGAAATCCCTCTCCGCCATTTATCTGAGCTAAATACTTTTTGTAATATTTGGTCTCAGGTTATTTATTTCTAATTATTTGTTCCTGATTATTTCATTGTATTCGGTTTCCTTTTTTTAAGTCAGTCCTTTTTAATATCTAGAAAACATTTTAGTATGAGTTTATGTTTATAGAAAGTTTTTATTGTGAAAAATTGGCCGGTAGTGGTCATATTCCTTCTAAATATTGCTTTTTATGTAACTGAGTATATTCTGTATAAAACTGACATTAATTATTGTCTTCTAACCTACAGAAACACACATCCTTATTACAATCGGCAAAGGAAACACCAGTTTACTACATAACATTTGACCGTCCTTCGTAAGTTCACTTCAATTCAAACCTCTCAAAACTCCATAATTCTCGCGAAACTTTTATTTTAAGAAGCACACTTTCGTTCTCTTATGTGTATCTCATGACGTATTAGCGAAAAATCGTAAGTTTCAAGACCGCCGAATTCTTTTTTCGTGAGGCTAGTGCTGGCTCGGACATGGACGAAAAATTGCCCGCGAAAAGTTGGAAGGAACGCAGAAATGCTTTTTACGTGGTTCTTATCGTTATTTTGGTGATGCTTTTATCGGGTGTTATTGTGGTTTTGAAACTACGGAAAATATATGGCGGTAAGGATAAATGTAGATGTAATAAATAAAATAATAAAAAATGTTCAATTGGAAATATTGCAATTATTTTCATAAATTGATCTGTCTTGAGTGTTCTTGGGCGTTGAATATTTTACTTAAAGCATGTAATCTGCCTACTTAGTTATTTCTACGTGAAAACTCCATATTCAGAGTGACTATTATTTGTTCTTATAATACTGAAATCACGTCTTCACTTTTTTTACTTTGCTTGTATAAATATCTATGGTATGCAATATTATATTCCATGTAGAAATGCATTATAGTCAAGTTTTTATGGCAGAAGATTACAAAAAGTCTTTATAGATACATACTGTATAAAGTAAAAAAATTAATTTTCTCATCTAGTTTGTACAATAATTTATAAAAATTATATGACCACATCAATAAATTTCTTATACAATCCAACAAAGTGTAAATGAGCAAGCCTTATGTTAATTTTTATTTCTCATCTCTCTCAATACCTAATTTCGAAATTCCTCGTAATTAAAAAGAAAATAAACTTAAGCATAGATGCCATCTTGAACCTTGAACAAATTGGTTTATGACATTACATTGAGGATTACCAGTTGTCATAACAACTTTGCTGTTGATACTTTTTAAATAGAGTATAGCATAAATAATAGATACATTAACTCAAATTTTGTTGAACGCGAGTTGAAGCTTTTTTAATATCACTAAGCCAGACTTTAGTGATTTTATATGATTATTTAATTTTTCCATCATTTCAAAACAGTTTATTCGTTTTAGCTTTTCTTCGAAGTAACCTTTTTCAGCTTGGCATAGCTTAAATTTGTATCCAACTATAAAATCAATGCCTTCAATCCTTCAAAGCTTTTGTTATTTTTAAGTAAGATCTTCCGTTAATCTCAATATGATTGACTATTTAACGTCTAAGGATATCCTGCTTTTCTATTTCTCTATTAATATTGCATAACTCTAAAAGTTTCTTGGATTAGATAATAAGAACATTTTGTCAATTCTCTGTTAAGTGTTTACGCTTTACACATCATACTCTGTTTGCTGGTTACCATTTCCCATTCGCCATTTCTTCGTATCATAAATCTTCTTCAGTGAGATCTCTTTTTTCCATTGGTGTTTTTATTTCTTCATTCCACTGTAATCTAGGTCGTCCTCTTATCCTTATTCTATTTGGTTTACATTGTAAAGTTCTTAACAGCACTCTTGTCTCGTCCATCCTTCGGGTCTATCCATACCAGAGTAAATTTCGTCATTTAGTGTCTCCTTCACTTTCACTAGTTCTCTAAATCGTTTATTTGTCACTTTGTCCAATAGTGTTCATCTGTAGCTTCTTCTCCAAAACATTATTTCCTCTGCAATTCTATTTTCCATGCTTTTATTTGTCACCTACATATCCGATCCATACAATGAGCAGATTTCCACTACAGTCTTAAAAATTTGGTCTTTAAATAAGTGATAAATTTGATCGTTACTTAATGAAAATTCAGTTTATCTAACACTAAAAGCACTGATAACTTTTGAACACGTTTGTTAAAAGTTCTACCAGTTTGAACGATGTAAGTTTTTGGGCAGTCGCCATTTACAAAGTGGTGTACGCCAATTGAAATAAGGCGACTTTCCAAAAACTTTTATCGGTCGAACTGGTAGAACATTTAACAAACGTACACCAGAACAAAAAACAGTTTTCAATAATAGAAAAACAGATTCTACGTACGCACTTCACCTTCTAAATCATAATCATTCTTTTAATGATCAATTTCGAATTCTTTACAGTCAAAACAAACGCTTTAAGCCATCTTTAGTAGAATCTATGGAAACTACTAAATTAACAAACACAGACATAATTCGGAATGACACACTTGGGACAAACATTTCTCCCCTATACAACTCATAGATCACTTGAAAAAGGCACCCTCCAAAACAGCTGTAGTGCTAATAAATTATATTGTAAAAGTATTGAAAACACAATTTTTCAGTGTTTAGCTATCCTTAAGTATGTCTATTCATTTGTTTGTTTTATTGAGTTGTTATTTACAACCAGGTCTTCTGCTGTGTTTGCAATAGCATGTATTTCTCATAATTAGTTTCAAACCCTAGCTTCCAAATTCTTATTACATCGTGCCGACGATGTCTTCTTTGTCTTCTGCTACAATAATTTATTGGCAAACAAAAGGCTATGGATATAGTTATCGTCAATTTTTAGTCCTATGGTTATCCAAAAAAATCCAAATCTATGGTTAACGTTAAATAAATGTTTCCATTACTTTTTATTTTCTTGCAGTCTATATTTTGTATAAACTAGTACCTTTTTTCATAGCTGTATAATCTCTTTCTTGATAAGACCTATCCATGATGGCGTTTGCAACACCAGGCTGCAAGTTGCAGTAGAATCGAACCCAGCCTCTGAGACAATGTACACTGTACACCGTGTACTTAGAAAATAACATGTAGGTGTTACAATTCATTGGGTTGAGAAGGATTGATCCAAGTAGCTACTTAGCAATGCGATAAGAAAACTAGAGAGAGTACGACCTCGAAGATCATTAAAAGATGAAATAAAAACAAGAAGCATGCAATATGAGTATTTTCAGAATAGAAAGTGATGTAGTGAAAGGTTTAGAAAATGGATACAATAATCATCATCATATAACGGGGGTCCTACGGCGATTGCCGCTTCCCGCATTTCAGCCTCCATCTTTTCCTATCTCCCCAATCTCCCTCTTCTAAGCCTCTAGATTGCATTGTTTTTGTAATTTCTCTTCTACAGGAATTTGGTGGTCTTCCCCTTTTCCTTCTTTCTGGCGGAACATACATTAAGGCTTTCTTTGGCCACCGCTCCTCCTCCATTCTCATAACGTGACCATACCATTGTAATTGCCTTCCTTGTATTCTATCTGAAAGAGTATCTCTAATTCCTGTATGGTTTCGTATTTCCTCATTCCTGATTCTTTCCATTCTCGATACTCGACATGACCTTCTAAGATAATCCATTTCCACAACGTCTACTTTATCTCGTTCATTCTTTGTCATCGTCCAACATTCGGCACCATATGTGGTAATTGGTTCTACAATTGCTCTGTATACGCGAAGTTTGGTATGCATCTTTATTTTATTAGACCACAGTAATGAATTCAGTATTCGGATGCATTTTTTCCCTTGGGTTATTCGGTTTTGTACATCTATCTTAACTCTGCCATCTGCTGATATGATGCTTCCTAGATATTTATACTGGTTGCAGCCTTTTATGACTGCGTTTTCAAGCCTCAGATCTGTGGTATTTCCTCCAATTTTTAGATATTCTGTTTTGCTTATGTTTACAGTAAGCCCCCATTTGGCATATTCCTCAAATAATTTTCGATTCATATAATTTATATCTTCCTCATCGGTTGCAACCACCACCTGATAATCTGCAAACAACAATGTATACAGAGTTTCTTGTCCCACTTCGATGCCCATAAATCTACATTTATTTCTCCAATTCCTCAATGCTTCTTGGACGTATATTTTAAAGAGTGTCGGTGACAAACAGCATCCTTGCTTTAGGCCTTTAGTGACTTTAAATTCATTTGAGGTTCTGGTTCCAATTTTTACACAACTAACTGCATTTTCGTACAATTTATATATCGCTCGGATATACGTCGAATCCAATCCGGACCTTTTGAGGACCTCAAACATTTTCTTTAACGGGACACTATCATATGCTTTCTCAAGGTCTATAAATACCAAATGGGTCTCTCTACTTCTTTCGACACGCTTTTCAATTATTTGTCGTAGGATAAATATATTATCAAGGCAGGATCTCCCGGTACGAAAGCCGCTTTGTTCTTCAATATCTTGTATCTGTCTTTTAACCCTCTTCTTTAATATTCTGCCGTACAACCGGCCTACAGAGCTCGTCACACTAATACCTCTATAATTGGAACAGTCTCTTTTATTCCCTCTCTTATATATGGATCTTATATAAGATTTATTCCAATCTTTAGGAATTTCCTGGTCTCCACACATACATTTATTGAAAAGGTCTACTATTAATTCTAAAAGTGCAGTCGGCCCATATTTAACCAGCTCTATGGGAATGTCTCCAGGCCCTGCGGCTTTTCCGTTTTTAACCTCTTTTAAGGTTTCCGTCAATTCAGATAATGTTATTATAGGGATTTCCTGTCTTTCGTCTCTGTTGTCTATTAATTCCCTTATCTTTTCCCATCTGTACTCTACTCTATCCTCTTTCAGCAGTTTCGTATAATATTCTTCCCATTCATTTAACTTTATGAGAGAAATGTTGTCTTCATTTTTCTCATTTTTCCTAAACTGTTTTAATGTCTTCCAAGCTTGCGCCACTTTTGTTCCACCCATAAATCTGTCCAGTTCATCACACTTAGCCTCCCAGTTTATATTTTTCGCCTTATCCACGTCTTTTTTAACTTCTCTATTCCATTTAGCGTATATTTCTCTGTCCTGAGGATCTTTGGATTGAAGCCATATGTGATATGCTTGTTTTTTCTTGAGAACTTTCTCTTCTAGTTCCGTTGACAACCATTCAGGCTTTCCTTTTTTCCGATTTTCAACTTTTCCCAGTGCTTCGTTTGCCGCTTCATGAATATATTTTTTAATTACCTCATACAGACTTTCGGGGTCTAAGTCCTTTGTTTCTATATTTTTTATTTTCTGAGCTATTCTAATTTTATATAAGAACTTTGTCGAATCTTGTTTAAAGCTTTCCAGGTTATATTTTATCTTTTCTATGTTCTCTAGGATACAATAATACTCTAAAAAATCTTGGTAGTAGTAGTAGTTTAGATCGTGATGTATTTCGGGAATGTTTTGGAAAAATTTTTAAAATTACCTTCAATTATCCAATTTTAGCTCTGGCTATATAGACCTTATGTCTTAGGATTTCGATTTCCCCAATGATTTCTGGTTATTTGTTATGATGGCTCCGATAAGCTGAACATATCCGTCAATCGTTGGTTTAACCATAAATCTATAATTTGTAGTACTTGTAATTTGGTCATTTCATCATTGGATTCATTAAACATATCGGTAAATTTTTTTATTTTGAACTTCAACAATTTTTGCTTAGTAAATATGCTGATAGTTTTATAGTTAATGAATTTCTCTGGCAAAGAAGGTTCCTATAGATTTTGTTTTAAGTTGCACTGGAAGACCAAATCCAATCCGGACACTTTCACGGATTTAATTTGTTATTCCTTCATTTTTGTATTTTTATTTTGGCATCGTTAGTAATAGTCGAAGATTTAAGATTTAAGAAATTATAAAAGAGCTTGCTTGAAGCATCTATGAATTCTAGTAATTTTTTATATCAATCTTACAAGAGTTTGTAGGTTAAAGTTGTCATACAAAAAACATTATTTATTGTAATTTATTTTTTTCTTTGAATTCCAGAAAACATCTGCCTTAGCGCTGATTGCGTCAACTCATCGGATTTCTACCAAAACATCATCAACAACTCAGTCGACCCCTGCGACAATTTCTACGAGTTCGCGTGTGGAGGCTTCGACGGTCCAATTTCCATCTTGGAAATATCAGAAAAAACAGTTTTTGATGAATTCAAATCGTTTATAGCGTCACCCATTCACGATGACGATCAGAGAGCTGTTAAAATGCAGAAGAAGTACTACAAGAATTGCATGAATACTTCGGCGATTGAAGAAGACGACAATGCTAGTATAAAGAAGATATTTGAGCAGCTGGGGGGATGGCCGCTCTTGTCATTGGATTTGGTTATACCTATCAACGCAAAGATCACTGAACAGTGTGCTGAGATGGGTTTGTTTTATGACTGGTTCACTGAGCTTGAGACTAAGGAGGAATTTTATCCCTATTCGAGTCAAATACTTCATGTAGGTAACATTAAGGAATAATTTCTATATACATCATTACGTATCACTATTATTAATGGTCAAACAGTAAACTTTTCTCTCATTTTAACTACTGTAAACAACAGAGATTGAAAATTGCTTTGAATTTTATATAATGTTAAATGTTCTCGAATTTGTTGATTATTTTATCATACTTATTTTTGTGGTTCCATTTTTGTGCAGATTTTGTGCAGCTTGAAACATAATGTAAGTCTAAACCAGTCCAATCTCTTATGTTTTTTAACCACCAATGTTTGCGTCTTTTCAGTCCCCTGTTGCCTTCTCTTTTACTTTCCATAATTAATTTCAAAAGCTTTGTTAAATTGTTTCTTATAACCTGACCAAAAAAACTCCTTTTCTTTATTGAGTCCTGGAAGAATCTGTTCCAGGATATCCTGGACATTTTTAACCCCCAACTGGTGACGTCATATAATCTTGACATAGACGGTGACGTGAAGTCTAATCTCGTTCTGGGCCTTCCTTTTTTTCGCCTTCCTATGGGCTTCCATTGTAACATTTTCTTTGTTGTTTTTGCATCGTTTTGTCTCTGCACATGTCCCAGCCATGACAGTCTTTGACTTTTCACAAATCTTACAATGTCATAACCTTCATTTAACTCATTAACCTCGTCGTTTCTCCTGATTCTCCATGTGCCATCTTCCTCTTGTACCGGGCCATATACTTTTCTCAGTATTTTTCTCTCGAATGTCCTGAGTTGGGCTTCATCTTTTTTCGTCATTACCCAAGTTTCACATCCATAGGTTACTACGGGTCTAATCAGTGTTCTGTAGATAGTCATTTTGGTTCTTTTGTCTAATAATTTCGATATCATCAATCTTTTATTAGCATAGTATGTACGATTCCCGCTGGAAATACGTGCATTAATTTCGCTACTTACGGAGTTCTCCTGATTGATTTTTGTGCCGAGATATGTAAAGGCATCCACTCGTTCGATAGTATAGTTGTCTATTGTAATATTATTTTCATTGTCAGTTATTCTTTTAACTGCCATATACTTCGTTTTTGGTTCGTTTATTTTGAGACCTCTATTTCTTGCTTCAGGATCAATTTGTTTGAACACTTAAATTAGTCATAACTTATTCCTACTAATGATGGCTACATAATCTGCATATGCAGTAATTTGTACTGATTTGGTGTTTATATGGCCGGTTATATTGGTTTTTCTGATGACTGCCTCAAGAACTAAGTTGAATAGCGTGGTTGATAGGGCATCTCCCTGTCTTACTCCCATGTTGATGTTAAACAGGGGAGTCAGTTCTCCAGCTACTCTGACTGCAGTTTTCGAACCCTGCAACGTCATTTTTATGAGGCTGATGTATTTCTTAGGTATACCTAGATTACAAAGGTCTTCCAGCATTCTGTCTCTTTTCACACTATCAAAAGCTTGTTTAAAGTCTATATACATATTATATAGGTCTATGTCGTATTCATAAGCTTTTTCTTGTATCGTTCTTAGTATGAATATGTTATCTGTAGTGGCTCTATTTGGTCTGAATCCATTTTGATAATCAACCAATTATATTTTCGGAGTATTCTAATAATCTATTTTAGATTAGTACCAGAAAGAATTTTGTATATTACATTTAGCAATGTAATTGGCCTATAATTCTGGCATTCCCTCTTATCTTCTTTTTTATATATTGGCTCTATGAGGCCAACTGTCCATTCCTCTGGCATTTGCTCCTTCGTCCATATTAATGTTATTAGGTAATGGATTCTTTCCCAGAGTTCGGATTCTCCATGCTTTAATAATTCTGCCAAAATTCCGTCCGTTCCTGGTGCTTTATTGTTTTTAGTTTATTTACTCATTGCCATTCAGTTGCTCCCATACAGTCTTCGTAGACACACCGTCTTAGGACTAGCAACTTCAACGTGGAGTCGTATGTCCCCATGTTACCTAATCCAACGGTAACTTTAACATCTTTATAAGATCAATTCAATCATTATAAGAAATTTTGTAAACTAAATATAATTAATTATTTATTAACGGGTTTTTACCCATATATTTAGTGGCTACATTCATGTACTCCTAGACACTGATGATGGAATATGGATTCCGAAAACGTTTTGTCTGTTTAAATTAGCCCGTTTGGGTTCTTAAATATATACCTTTTACAAAGGATTCTTAATAAATTTTTTAAAATTTTTTTTTTTAATTATACAGCAGTGTGGTTTGCGAAGCTCCATTTAAGTTTGGCAATTTTTTTTGTGATTTTCTTAACTTTTGTTTCTTATCTTACCCAGTCGTTCCGCTTTTTATCTGACAGTCGTATACCTAACATTACCGTTTGTATTGCCCTTTTTTTGTGGCTATTTTGTTCACTTTTGCGTTGGTTAGGGTGCAGATTTGACATGTATGTGTCACGATCAGAAGGATGCACTGGTTGAACATTTAGCTTAACAAGTTGAGGTATTTTGCAGTTCTTAAATATCCAACTAAGTTTTCCAAATTGTATCCATGCCAGTATTGATCTTTTAGTAATTTAAGAATTTTTATTGATTTTTACATTGCATATCTGTATAAAAAATTATAATATAAATATCAAACTTTAGAAGAATTATCTAAATTATTAATAAATTCCTCGTGGTTTGAATAATTAATAGGTTGACGAATTTTTCTTTAGTAATTTTAATGATATTCTAAAGCTTTTGGTTTATTAATCGCGTTTCAACCTCATCCTGTTTTATGATTTTATAGAGAAAACTAATTAACTTTCAAAAACATCCTTTAGGAACGTAAAAATGACGAGGTTATAATAATAACGACCCACGAAAATTAGGAAATATAATTAACGTGTACACCATCCAAACATTGACTCTTCCATAAACAAAAACAAATGGTAAATTAATTTGTTCAGTTTACTTAACTGTATTAAAAGCAAGGACTGGAAAACTAACATCGACGTTAAAAATAGGCCACATTGACAGGATACAAGTATGCTATAGGTACAGGCAAGCAAATATTTGTAAAATCCCGTATATACATTTTTTAGTTGTTTATATTAGTGGAAACCGAGAAATTTTCAACAATAGCATTATGTTTGAGTGCTAAATTAAAAAAAAATATTAACGAAAACCTTCAATATTAGAATTTCCGAATAAAAAAAAATAAAATTACTGTACTCGAAAAAATAAATATAGATCATAAAAATTGATACACTTAAATTAATTTATTTTGAGTATAGCTATAAACAATCTTAACGATGCGATGGAGCGAAATATTATAACGTTTACAAAATTAGAAATAAAACTTATGATAAAAATTATCTATGAAAATCAGTAAAAATATTCGAATATGCCGCGACGTCACGATTGGACTGAAAAGGTAGGTAGGTCTAAGCAAGAGCAATATTTTCTGAACTTGCAACAAATTAAGCAGTTAAGTAAAATATACTCATTTGAGCACAATAATAGGTTTTCATTTAAGTCTTTCACAGGTTTCACAAATTCTACGCTTTAATTCGGAGTTATTATGCACTAGCAAATAATTGTAACCACTGAGTACGATGAGTTGCTTCTTTTTCTTCTTCCTCAGCTGTTTTCTTTTTAGGGTTCCTGCTCATTACTCTTCTTTGTCACTAATTTCTGACCTTCGGGTCTTCTTCACCTAAACCTTTCTTTCTCAAGTCCTTTGCCACACAGTTCTTCCATGTTCTCTTCGGTTATCCTCTACCTCGTCTTCCATCAACTTCTAGCAGCTCTATACTTCGACCCACACAGTTTTCATCTCAACGTCCGGCATGAGCATTGCAGTCTTTAATTTTGGAACTCTTTTGAGACTTGTCACCCCGGTTCTTTCCCTAATCACGTCATTCCTGATCTTATCCCTTCTAGTCTTACTCAAAATACATTGTAACATTTTCATTTCAGCTACCTCCATCTTCTTTTCCTGAACCCTCTATACAGGCCACACATAAAGTAGCTAAGGTATTTAAATTCTTCTACTCGTTCTAGTTTTTTCCCCAAACAATTCGATGATTCATTTTCTAGCATTACTATAAATATAACATTTTCATCTCCTCGAGTGGTTCCAAATTTTCATACAAGTTTGTAGACGATCTTTCATTAGAAGTAGCTACAGACGCTTTGCTTTGGTCTTTGCTAACTTATATGTATCCTTATCTTCCTTTCCTTTAGACTCCTCATACCTCTTTCTAGCTTCTTTTTTCTACTTAACCTTCTATTAGACTTCATCGTTACAACCTTTATCAGATGTTTTCTAAGCACTTCCTCTCTTAGTTGTGCCACAACTTTGCTATTGTCTTCCATCAGCTATTTACCGTACCTTTTCCCGTAAAACTTTTGCCAAATTCTTATCCTTTAACTTCCACCACTTGCCACACATGTCTTACTTGCTTTCCATTAAAATCACCGTTATCAATCGCTTATTATCTCCCTGAAGAAGCTACATATAATGGTTAAAATGAATCTACAAAATACATGGTCTGTTTTGTTTACAAAATACATTGTCTTCTGAATCTAATAGAGTTTCTTATACGAATGAAACAACACACTATCTGAAATATTCTCTTAATACTGCCAGAAATAAATCAATTATTTACTAGTTTTAAAATATACTTAACAAATCTATCTCATTATTTTTTTGTAGATAACACCACCAGATATACGAGATTTGGTGCAAGAAGAATTTAAAGACAATTACCAACTGCTTATAGAAAACATAGTAAAGCGTTTGGGCTCAAAGAGAGGGTTAGATTTTATTTCCAAGGCAGCAAAAAATGTGGCGGATTTTGAGAGGTCCCTAGCAAAGGTAAGTTATTATGAAATAAATAAAAGTGTACAAAAAAATAATAAGAATGTTGAAGTTTGTATCATAAATGGTGATGTTAATGTTTTGAACTTGTAAGAACTTAATAAATTACCATACAGTGTTTTATGAGTGCAATCAATAAAATCTTCTGCTTCTTGTTCTTATGGTACAAGATGTTTCAATTCACTCAATATCCCACCACGTAATGTGTTTTCTTCCAATATTCTTACGTCCTATTGATCTAGATCTTTCCTATCTCGTTATGGTATATTAGTAACTTTTTAAAAAATAAAGAGTTTATTCAATAATGCTCAGACATCATGAAAATCTGAAGTGTAATTGATAGACCGACATGTAAAGAAAGCGAAATATTTAATATTTAGTTTGTCTTTATGCAAGACAGATCAACATCAGATGCAATTTTCATTGTAAGCCAGCTAATAAAAAAATACAGGAATAAATGAACAAATGCTCATATGGTATTTATTGATCTTAAGAAATCATACGATATAGATCTTCGAAAGGATGTGTGGTGGAAAGCTTGAATACCTTGGACACATTATAAGAGGAGCTAAGTAAGTTATGCTGCTGAATATACTGATTGGAAAAAAAAAGACAAACAGAGCCAGGGCAGAAAAATATCATCCTAGCTTAAGAATTTGCGAAATTGGTTTGAACTTACAATAATTGAACTGTTTGGAAATAGGTTTAAATAAAGTTAGAATGGTCATATTGATTTCCAACCTCTGAGAGGAGACGTAATCTAAAGAAGAAGGAAGTAGTAACACAGAAAGACCAAAGAAAAGTGGAAGACTCTTATACAGGATATATCGGTACACGGAATTGATATAGGTATAAAAAATATAGTCCATTATCAGATTCAAACATTTAACAAGTTAGTTAACCACTAAAAACAAAAAAGAGAGAATGTTACAATTGTTGGTAGGTAAGCTGAAAGTTATGCCAATACTAAACATATAGCAAACACTTTTTGTTTGCTATATGTTTGTTCTTCTTCTTCTTCAGGTGCCATCTTCGCTACGGAGGTTGGCAATCATCATAGCTATCTTAATTTTTGAGGCAGTAGCTCTAAATAGTTGTTTTGAGCTGCATCCAAACCATTCTCTCAGTTCTTCAGCCATGAAATTCGTCTTCTTCCGATGCTTCTTCTGCCATCTATTTTTCCTTGCATTATGAGTCGCAGGATGCCATACTTATCGCCCCGCATCACATGTCCGAGATACTGTAGCTTTCTTTCTTTAATTGTAAGTTCAATTTCCTTCTCTTTGCCTATTCTTCTCAGTATTTCATTGTTTGTAACTCTATCTACCCAGGAAACCCTCATAATTCTTCTATAGGTCCACATTTCAAAGGCCTTAAGTCGTCTCATGGTATCTAGATTTAACGTCCATGATTCCACTCCATAATATAGTACACTGTATACGTAACATTTTGATAGGCGTACTTTAAGAGCTAATGTTAGATCTTTGCCATTTTTATAAAATTAGAACGTGCTTTTTCGATTCTGACTTTGATTTCTGCCGTGTAGTCATTATTTTCTGTTATAAGTGTTCCTAGGTAAGTGTACTTTTTTACTCTATCGATCTGCTGGCCCTCTACTATCAAGATTTCGTTAGTATTATAGTTGTTTTTACAAATTTTCATAAACTTCGTCTTTTTGACATTAAGAGAGAGTCCGTACTCCCTACTACACATGACTATTTTGCTCATGAGTCTTTCCAGGTCTTGTAAACTATCGGCTATTATTACTGTATCATCTGAATATCTGATGTTGTTAATTAAGACTCCATTTACTCTTATGCCGATTGTTTCATCTTCCAGAGTTTCTCGAATTACCTCTTCAGAATAGGCGTTAAATAATAGAGGTGATAGAATGCAGCCTTGCCTGACTCCTCTCTTTATTCCATTTCTTCAGATGTTTCTTTTTCGATTCTTACTATTGCTCGCTGATTGTAATAGAGGTGTGTTATTAGCCTTAAATCTCTTTCATCTAGGTTTTTATTTTTTAGAATTTCCAGGAGTCGATCATGTTTTACTTTATCAAACGCTTTATTGTAGTCTATAAAACAGACGTAAAGAGGACGGTTAACATCCAAACATCATGTTTGTTGCACAAGTATATTTGTAATAGACTCACACTTATCATCGTATTCAAATTTGTTTACTGTAGGATTAGTATTGGCATAACTTACACCTTAACTACTAATAACAATTGTAACATTTTCTTTCTTTCTGTTTTTGGTGATTAACTAACTTGTTAAACGTTTGGACCTGATAATGGGCTGGATGATGATGTATGAGAGAGCGTATACCAAAGTAAGGACTTCTGTCGGATTGACAGAAAGTTTGACGGTTTGTTGGCATCAACGCTCTTTACTGATTCTTTAATTGTTTAATATGTACTAACAGAGAAAGTAAAGACGGGAGCTTCTTGGTCAACGCTCTTTGCTGATAATATTGTATTAGTAGAGGAGAGCAAAGAAATGTTAGAAGACGAATTAGAATATTGTAGAAGGGCTATTGACAGGGAGGGTCGAAAACATAGTATATGTGGTTAGAAGAAAGAGGATTGGTTCAGGACATATAATTGCTTGGAGAAAAACTAGGAGGAGTGAGAGAATTTGAATACCTTGGCTCCTACATAATGGAAAAGGGGACACTAGATCAAGAGATTGCCCACAAGATGTAGGCGTTTGGTGTAACTGGAAGCGAATGAATGGGGTACTTTGTGATTGAAAAATCGGGTAAGAGCTGAAGGGAAAGATGTACAAGAGTGTGGTGAGATCTGCGTTGGCGTACGGCGGTAAAGTGTGGCCTGTAAAAAAGATTCAGGAGAAGAATATGGCGGTAGCTGAAATGAAAATGTCACGGTGGATGTTGAGTAAAACTTGAAGGGAGAGGATCAAAAACGATTTTATTAGAGAAACACTACACTATTAAAAAGATTCAAGAACAAAGACTGCCATATAGCGACAAGGACTAAGGAACAGCGACCCTTAAAAAGGGAAAAGATAAGCAAGAAGAAGAAGACGATGAGCTGTATTTGCATACTCTAAAATCGGTTGTTGTAGTTATAATATTAAATCAAATGTAAGTTTATTTTATTTTTTCTTTATACACTTTTATATGATTTGGTAAATTTTTGGTTGCATTTGACATATTTGTAGATCATTTTAGAATCTCGAAATACGACAAGAGTAACCATCGGCGAATTAAAAACAGATTTTCCGTCACTTCCTTGGGATGGCATATTAAAAAATGTAGACTTTAACGAAAATACGACTGTGGTAGCAAATGTATGGTATTTTGTAAGATTGATAAGGCTATTGGAACAATCTAGCAATAGGTAAGTGTTGGCTATTGATAGTAACCGTGGGTTTACTCAAATATTTTTATTTTTAAACATGTTCCTTTTGTGGCGTCTAAGATTTTTATAAACTATTTTATCGGTAAGTAGTCACACAATTGATAAAACTGGATATTTTAAGTTTTGATCGAGAGCTTTACTAAATGAATAGTTAGGTGTATAAAAATTTATATACTAGATAGATAAAATAAATACATAAATCATCATTATCATCGGCCGTTTTTAGTCCACTCAAACAGGCCTCCCGTAAATAATTCCCATGCATTATATCTTGAGCATGCTCAATCCTTGTTAGAGGATGTCCTCGGTTATGATAAGCATCGTGTCTAGGTCTCCATTCCATAATTGTCTTCATCCACCTTCCATCTTTTAATCTGGTACTATGTCCCGTCCAGTTCCATTTCAATGTTATAATCCTTTGAACTGCGTCAGTAACACCAGTTTTTCTCCTATTTATTGTATTTGACACTCTGTCTCTGAGGGATATATTCAGCATTGACCTCTCCATCGCCCTCTGTGCCACTTGTATTTTATTGACTACTTTTCTGGTAAAGGTCAATGTTTTGCTCCATACGTTAGACATGGGAGTACACATTGATCAAAGATCTTTCTTTTCAAGTACATGGGAATATCTGATCTAAAGACTTCTCTCAGTTTTCCGTAAGTCACCTATGCCAGTTCTATTCTCTTATTTAGCTTCATTGTTTGATTATCTCTTCCTAATTTAATCTCGTAGCCCAGATATTTATAGCTATATACCTGTTTAAATTGCGTGCCGTTAGTTGAGATGTTTTTGCAAATTTCGAGTTGTTCAGAAACTCTCCATTTATGTTGACTCCAATATTCTCCCAATTATTGATTCTCACAGCACTCTGCAACAAAGCCGTGAATAGGTTAGAAGAGATGGAATCTCCTTGCCTAATACCCCTCTCGAAGGGAAGGGAAATGTATTTGTGTTGCCATAATGCATTCTAACTGCAGCTGTTGCGCTATTATATATATTACGAAGAAGAGTTGTGTACCTATGATCAATATTGCACTCTGTAAGAGCTCTTGACATGGAGCTATGCTGTACTGAGTCAAACGCTTTCTCAAAGTCTACAAATATTAATATCAATGGCTTGTTGTGTTCTGCAACTTTCCCTATTAAGAATTTTTATTACTTGTAGGTGGTCATTCGTTCCAGAGCCACTCCTAAATCCAATCTGCTCTAATGGTTCGTGAAAATCCAGCTTAGGTTCCAGTCTGTTAGTAATTATTCTCATAAAGAGCTTATTTAAATGAGATAACAAGCTGATTCTGTAGTTTCCAATTTCTGTTACATCTCCTTTTTTGTGCAATATTATCATAATGTCACTATTCCATTTTTCTGGTGTAACTCCTTCAAAGAGACAGACATTATAAAGGGTTTTCAAAGCTTTTGTCACTACGATGTTCACTGTGTGCTTATCTTTCATTTTCCTTCTTTTTCGCATTAGGTTCCTTGAGCCCTCTGGAAGTTTTTCAGTTTTTCTTGTTTGCTTAACTTGACAGTTCTTCAGTCTCCACCAAATACATACATAACTAAATGAAAAGAATTTTTTCTATTCTCTTAATTATAATTATGAAATAATTACAGACAATTTTCAAATTTCTCTCAGTTTATTGTATAATTATATTTATTGAAAAATTTTTATACTAAAAATAAGGCATTGTTTGTTGTAGCGTAAAAGTTAACTACATATTTTGGAAAGTAACTAAGTCACTTCACCCGTTTTTGTCGCGTGACATCAGAAGAGAATTTGAGGCTTACGAAGATGTGATAAGCGTAACCAAAGGACGCAAAAAGCAATCAAGAAAACGAGCAGACTTCTGCTACAGTCTCACTCAAACAGTGTGAGTTGAAAATTTCCAAAGTATACTCCAGCAAAAAAGTATCACATCACTTATACACTTTCAAAGTTTTCTGACAGCATTTGGTTAATTTAAATGATTTCTTTCTGGCCCTTAAGAATATTAAGGTTGGAATAAATATTAAAAAGAAATTTGTAAATAAAGCTTACTGCTTTAAAAAAATATTAATTGCTATTTTGTCTGGTTTTTACATTATCAGTCTTTATTTAACTTTTGTAAAAAGTATATAGTTTGCGTTTAATTTAAAATTTTGTATTAAATATTGAGTATGGAAGGTCGTGACTATATAAATTTAAATTTAACGAGAGATCAAGTGGTTAGAATAATTTCCGTCATTGAAGACGGAAGGAGTCAGAGATATGTGTCAAATTTAGTGGGTGTAAATCAGTCGACAGGATCGCGAGTGGTAGTAAGGTACCGAGAGACTGGTCTTTACGAAAGGCGAACTGTAACAGGTCGGCCAAGAGCAACTATGCATGTGGACAATAGATTTTTAGTCTTTCAGGCTTTTTGTCGAAGACATGTGACTGCAAGTCAACTTCAACATGACTTAGCCGAGACTCAAATTGTACGTGTGTCTTCAGAAACTGTTAGGCACATCCTAAGCCAGTCTGGAATTAGGGCCACTGCTCCGAGACTTACAAGGGAACACCTATGGCACGTCTAACATTTGCAAGAGAGCACGTAGACTGGAATATCGACGACTGGGGTAACATACTCTTTAGGGATGAGTCAAGATTTTGTTTATACACTTTGGATCAAAGAAAACCAGTTTATAGACGAGATGGCGAGCGTTATTTTCAATGCAATCTAAAGACCCATTTTCACGCTACGTCTTATTGTACGTTTTGTTGGTCATATAAAACGTACGACAAAGTGTACGTTTTGTCCAGTATATACACACTATGTGTTTCCTTCCGACAAGACGTACGTTTTGCTGTTTACATGCAACGTTTTATTGTATAGGATTTGTCCTATCCAACAAAACGTACAATAAGACGTAGCATGAAAACGGGCCTTAAGACCGGCGACAAACTTTGGAGAAGGATCTATTATGCGCTGTGGCAGAATATCTCTTAGGGGTCAAACCGAATTGGTACAGCTAGATGGAGGTTTCTTAACTGCTGTTGGGTACATTAGAAAAATTTTGGAGATGCATCTTGTTCCTTACGCCCCGTTTATTGGTAATGACTTTACTGTTTTAAAGCATGAAAATGCACGCCCACACGTCGCAAGAATCGTTATCGAGTAACTTTAAGAGGTAAATTTACAAGTTTTGAATTGGCCAGCGCACAGAACGGACTTAAAGCCAATAGAACATGTTTGGGACCTTCTTTACAAAAGGGTGAGATCTGGTAATCTTCAGGACCTGCAATGGTTATTAACCGTAGAATGGGATAATATCGATCAAGATTATCTAAGAAGATTCATTGAAAGTATGCCACCACGTTGTCTAGATGTAATAAAAGCTAGAGGAGGCAATACGTCTTACTAAATTATCATTACTTTTGATTTTTATTTTTTTTCAATGCTGTTTGTGCGTTTACTTTTAATTTATAAAATAAATTAAATAAAACCTTTGTTTTTCGTACATTCAGCATTTTTCTTTTAATGCTTGTTACGTATTTAAAAAACAAAAAAAAAAACAACAGTAAAGAATCCATGTTTTAAATTATTTTTAATACAAAATTTGCAGTTTCATAGGTGAAGCGATACTTTTTTGGCGGAGTGTATATTTGTTACATATGAGAGTTAACGTCATAATAACTGGAATTTGAATACCGATATCTAAAGCAAAATTAACTATAGAAATTAATCGATTTCAATCAATTTTTAGATTTGCCTACGTATCAGAAGGAGCCTACGCCAATAAGTACTCGTCCGAAAGGGAATCCATTAGACAAATCGTCGACAACATAAAAACCGTTCTAGCCGATCACATCAACAGGTCGAAGTGGATGAATCACACGCACAAGACCTATGCCCTCGGTAAATTGCGAAATGTTAGAGCGTTCATCGGCGCTCCAGATGAAGTTTTCGATGAAAACGAATTTGAGAAAATTCTTGGTGTTGATGAGGTGAGTAATACCGTTGAGATCTCAATTTAGATAGGTGCAGGTGTTGTGGAATGATTACTTGTTGTTGAAAATAGGTTATTACATTGTATACAGAGTAATTCAAATAAGTTAAACCAGACATGGCAAACTATTTAAGTGTAGGGTCACATATTTTTTATGTTTATTAGTGATAAACTTTATATTTTAATTTTACATTGTACGTATCTTATGTGCAGAAATGGTGAAAAACATTAAGAAGCTACATAAATAGATTATTCTTTAGCAGAGAATGAACGTGTCTGTGACATATGAAATTAAGTATGAGATTCTAAAGGTTGTTAATAATCTGGCAGAAACTGGGAAGAGTTGATTCACAAGCGTGAAGCTAAGTGCTTGTGAGTCAATCGGTTTCTAATCCTGCTTTTGCGAAGTTTCACAGCAGAAAAAGCCTGTACAGATGTGGAAGATGCAATCAGCACAATTATTTTCTGAGCATGAGATTCCAGGTTTGAGAAACTTCATTTTAACAATGCCTTCTTGAACTCAGTTTTAAAAACACTGAGAAATAGTTGCTTCAATTCAGCGTTACATTGCTTCTCAATAAGTTCGAGCTACAATTCTGGGTTTACTGATTCATAGTCTACATTAAACGGCATGCTGAAAATGTCCAGGTCCTGTTGTATAATTTTAAAGTCTAGGAATCTTTATTCAAACTCTTGATATAGACATTTCACGCTTTTTTTATAGCTTATACAATTGTCTTCCCTAACTGTAATAGATTTAAGCTTTAGGAACTGAGCAATGTTATTTGTTTTATTAACAAAATCGCATCAGTCAAATTGGCTGTTAGTAAATCAATAGTAACAAAACCATAATTTGTATTACATTTATATGTTTAGAAAGCGTTTAGAATGTTAAGGTTTGACACATTGCACTGTAGACCTAAAATATCACTTAGTTTGTTGGGTATATTGTATAACATGCGCTTTGGCGTTAATGCTTGACATTTCTCTAATATACGTTTGACTGTTAACTTTTCTTCACAGTTGTCACATCTTGTTGTTTTTAGGCAAACACGTGGCTATTAGTTAATCGCGTATGACCCAGTCGAAATCGCGTTAAAATTACTTGGTCTCTCCGACTTTATCCGGTTTTATCGATTTTTTACTATCACTTAGATTGGCAGATGACACTTTCCACTTTTCTTCCCACAAATTTTCATTATTTGACTGCCACTTTAAATTTGATCGCCGCTCAATAATATTTCCGCACTCATAAATGTTTAAGTACACTCTGCATTATCACTAGTTGCAGCTTCTTTTGCAGCGTTGTCTGCCTCTTCATTTTCTTGAATACCAATATCGGACGGTATTCAGAAGAATATAACATTTTTTCCATTCAGTTGAGCGGTATATATTTCTTCTTTTATCTTGATAAATATCTTGATGAATGAACTTAGAGAGTCGGTAAGTATAATATAATTGGTATTATTTGATGCATTGACAGCAAGGTTGTCCTAGTCTTAGAGCATATATTTCAACAGAGTAATTGTAATTCTTTGTAATTGTAATTCTTAGAAGGAATAAAGGAAGATATTTAACGGTACTTCTTGAGGTAAGAGCCCTCTGCTACCTGCCTAGATAATTTGTCGGTAAAAATGTCGGTCGCAATATCTCGTAAGCTGAAATGGCTAGCTCGCAAAATATTCGCTAATATATGATATTTTATTCATACCAGCAGTGTTGCCAGTAGTTCGCTTTAAAGATAGAAACGACATTCCGCTAAGCAATTCTACTTGTAATTATATGTAATATTGAAATTAGCTTAAGTGAAAGTGTAGTGAAATATCTCATATCAGAGTGTTTTCGAACATCTATCAGAAATTGCTATTTAATCTTAGCATTAAATATAAGTTAGTGTTTAATCTGTTTTTCATTCCAGCCATTGGCTGATGGTCCTTCGTCCTTCAATTCTTTAAATGAGTTATTATTGAACCATTTGTATTTATTTGTCGATGTTGGGGTTATGACTGTACCACCAGTACCTTCATTTGATTTAGATGCATCTGTGTATAAATGTGTATAATCCTTGTAGTTGTGAAGCATATCATTGACAGGGGATTTGATTAACTGTGGTTTATTGAATGTTTGTCGACAGAAATGAGGCGGGTTAGGCACTAAGGGTTTTTATCTACCACGAAGGAATTAAGGACGATTAGCAGGGAAATTATTCTGGGAACGTGTAGTTTAGATTTAAAAAGTTTTTACTCCGTGCGTAGAACGGTTTGGGCGTTCTAGGTGTATTTAAAAAGAGATTTGGAAACTTTTCTGTAAAACAGTTTTGAATAGTAGGGTTTTTGAGTTAGTCCTGATTACAATACATGTAATACATGTACAAAACTTACAATAAATGCTTTAGATTGGTGTTGCGCAAAAAGCTCCAGATATTATACTGTCAAGTTTTTTAGCATTCTCTTAGTGGCTGTAAATGTGTTATTATTGGGGTTAACCGATGTAACTAGATATATGAAATCTTTGACTGCTTCGAAGTTTTGGTCATTGATGATTAAATCTGTGTCAACATTTCCAGCTCTTGTCTTTGTGTTAGTCGCCATGAATTTGCTCGGTTAGGATTTGCGCAGTTCTCACCCTGGTTCTTGTTATAATGTCCACGTCGTCTGCATATGCTAGCATTTGGATTGATCTATTAAATATTGTTCCCCTGCTATCTAAATTAGCGTCTCGTACAACTTTTTCTAAGGCGACATTAAAAAACTGACACGCCAGCGCATCTCCCTGCCTTAACCCCCTATGTATTTCAAATGGAATTGACGAGTCGTTTTGAATTTTTACTGCTGATAGCATCTTCGCCATTGTCACTTAATAATTGCAAACAGGTGTTATCATGGTCTATCAAAGTACTTAGCTAACAAACGTCTGTCTCAAAAAACTCTTATAAGGCTTTAAAGAATACTGATAGTCCCCTAGTCTCACATAGGGATCAGAGGCATGGACGCTAACTAAAACAGATGAATCCGCTCTATCGATTTTTGAAAGAAAGGTGCTACGCAAGAGATTCTAAGTGGTCTGTGAGAACGGAATATGGAGGCGTAGATATAACTTTGAAATGCACAATATCTACAAGCATACTTTTGGTTGTAAAGATATTATCACTATAATTAAGCGAAACCGCCCGCAGTAGGCAGGACATCATAAAAAAGATTCTAACAGCGCAACCCGTGGAAATGGATAGACCAAAGCTGAGGTGGATGGACGGGGTACCACAAGATGCCGAGAAGATCGGAGTCAGCAACTGTAAAATGCTAGCAAGGGTCAGAACAGAATGGCGTAGAAAGCTTGAAAAGGTCGAGGCCCTCTAAGGGCTGTAGCACCAAGATGATGATGATTAGTGGCTGTAGAATATACAGGAGATCCATAATCTAATTTTGATCTGATTAATGTTCTGTAGGACAGCAAAAGTGTTTGGCGATCCGCACCCCATTCTTTATTGGCCAGAGTTTTTAGAAAATTTAATCGCTTGTGACAAGATAAGATCAAATTTGTTATATGAAGTTTACAGCTTCGAATTTCATGCCCAAGAACTTTATAGTAATGTCATTTTTGTCTAGTTGTTAAGGAACTGATCGAAATAAAGAGAACTGACCGATACGTTCCGAACTTAACCGACCAAAACACGCATTGTCCTCAACACCGCCTATTATTACCTAGAGGTACGTGGTAAGGGGATTAAGGTGGTTTGTGCAACGCAAAGGTCCAAGAGGAACAGAGGGAAACATACAGTCCTATGTTGCGTAATTTTTAAGATTAGTCAAAACCATGTCGTGGATCTGATTAAATAGCCCAAAGGGACGTACTTTACCTATGTCTGAGTTAAATTCTAGTATTTGAATGTTTTCACAAACCTACTAATACCATATTTTCAATTAAACACCAATTTTTGAGAATATATCTGTTCTCCTACAAAAGAATGAGGATTTTTATACAAATGCTTGTAAACATTAAACTAAGCGCCATCGAAAAATTATGCTAAGGCTATTCACCCTGCTTAGAATTAGATTGCCTTTTTTATTGAGATGACTTGTGTGATAAAAAAACCTTTGTTCATCAGGACATTACTGAAATAAATGAATAAACAAATACTTCAATTCTTTCATGTAGAGAGTCTCCCAGCTCTCATTTTACTAGCGACGCATGTCTTTGCGTTCAAAAATTTATAAAAATTCTATTTATTTTCATACACAAGCACATTGTTGTTGTGACACCTTGTACAATTTTTTTATCACAGCATTTTTATTTTATTTCCCCTGTATGTATTGATGAATGTATTATTACATCTCGACAATCGTCATCTCATTTCTACATCACTGGCGCTTTAATAAATCAATCTATTAGATCTTGATATCTCTCGATGCAACTGAATCTTATTCTCTATGTAGATCGACATTTTAAGATTGAACAATACATTGGATATTGTACGAGCAGTGGACAAGAGTCGTGACAAGTACAACTTGAGCCTGTCCAAGAAAAAAAACCAACTATCATCAAGCTAAATTGTATCAAGGGATCGTTACTATAGATGCAAGATATATTCCGGAAGAGAATCTAATATGTGAGTAGTACAATTTTTACTTCTTGTAATTGATATTTAGTTTTATTGTACACGGTGTGTCATACTCACTGTGAGCAAATAAACACAAGATTAATTTGTTTAAAATTAGTAAGAAAGTGATCGTTTCTGAGAGTTAGGAGGGTACTAAAGTTGGAAAAAACTGTGTCCCCAATAATAAATAATTTATTTTCCTGCTACAATAGTTTGTAGACTTCTGTATTATTTAATTCTATTTATCTTTACGTTATACAATCCACTGAGATAATAACATATCTATAAAATACTCATGCAGCAGATCTGAACAAACTAGAGGCACTAATATTTACACCGAATTTATCTTCTTCTTATTCTACTTCTTGGAGATCTTTCAATCTATTTAATTTTGAAGCTGCCTCTGGTTAGTTTCCTGGAGGGAGATTGCTAATTATCCCTCCATCTTTTAGGTAGTCTTCCGGGAGGTCTTGAACCAGGCGGGTTGTTTTCTATGGCAATTTTTGGTAAAGAGGTATAGAAAATTGTACTACATCCTCTTACGCTGCTTTCCCCATCTTACAATATCTTGAATTTTGCACTGCTCTCTAACGTTTGTATTTCTCACCCTGTCTCTTCTTGTTTTGAAATACATTGTTCATTGTTTATAATTTTTCCCATTCTTCTTCATGTACCTTGTCCGTTCCGAACGTTGGCAATCAACATGGCTATTCTGACTTTGTTTACGGCAGATCTGAATAGTTCAGCAGATGACAATCCGAACCATTGCCGCAAGTTTTGGAGCCACGAGTGTCTTCTCCTCCCTGGACCCCTTCTGCTGTCTATTTTCCCTTGAACGATCAGCTGTAGTACTCTATATTTATTATGTCTCATAACGTGACCCAAGTATTTCAACTTTCTTTTCATTATACTTATTCCTACCTCTCTCTTTACTTATCCGGCGTAGTACCTCTTCGTTGGTCACGTGCTCGGTTCAGGATATACGTAATATACGTCGGTAAGCCCACATTTCGAAGGCCTCTACTTTTTTCATCAATGTTGCGGTCATTATCCACGCCTCCATTCCATATAACAAAAGTAATACATAACATTTCAGAAGTCGAATTTTGAGAGGTAGGGTGAGGCTTTTAGAGGTGAAAATTTGCTTCATGCTAGTGAACGATGCTCTTGCCTTTTCTACTCTTATACGTATTTCCTTCGCTTGATCCCAATGTGAGTTAACTGTTGTTCCCAAGTAGATGTACGAATCCACGTGTTCAATTTTTTCATTGTCTAATATCAGTTGCTGTGATGGTTGTTGGGTTTGGCTTACTAACATCCATTTGGTTTTTGTGATATTTAGTCTGAGTCCGTATTGTGCACTTGTTTTTTGTATCTTACTCATTAGGCAACTCAGTTCCTCCATGCTACCTGCTAGAATCACAGTGTCATCAGCATACCTTATGTTATTAATTATTTCTTCATTTATCTTTATGCCTTCTGTGCTTTCCTCCAGCGCTGTCTTAAATACTTCTTCTGAGTATATATTAAAGAGAATTGGAGACAAGATATAGCCCTGTCGTATCCCTTTCTTGATCTCAATTTTATTGGTCAATGTAGATGCTACTTTCACTTTAGCTGTTTGACCCCAATAGAGACTCGCTATTGTTCGAATTTCTCTGTAGTCGACTCCGACCTTATGGAGAACTTCAATTATCTTTTCATGCTTTACGTCATTGAATGCTTTTGCGTAGTCTATAAAGCATAATGTACACGTCTTTGTTCATATCTCTGCAGCGCTGGATGAGTACCTGTAGACTAAAAAGTGCTTCTCTTGTCCCAAGAGAATTCCGAAACCCAAACTGCGAATCTCCAATGTTATCCTCGCATTTTTTGCTTATTCTGTTGTAAATAACCTTGGTGTATGCCTTCGAAATGTGGTTAATAAGACTTTGCTTTTGGTTTTTTTGGTATGGCAACAAAAGTTGACTCTAACCAGTCTTCAGGAAACTCCCCGCTGTTATAAATATTGTTAAAGAGTCTGACCAGTGAGACTAGAAATTGACTGTTTGTTTCGCACAGCATTTTCAATACTTCCCCGTACTTTCCCATGAGTAGGTTAAGTAAGAAGGGGCTTAAACTGTCTCCTTGTCTAATTCCTCCCGGTGTTTGAATATTTTCAGTGAATTTATCTCCTGAATGAAGCAAATATACGTTGGCATGCCGAACTGTATAGCTTTTTCTTTTATTTGTTTTATTATGAATACTGCATCTGTTATAGACATTTTATTGCAAAAACTAAAGCCGGATTTATAAACGGACATAAACATAATTTTAGTCTTTAACCATAATCTTATTATATAAGCATAATGTTAAAAGTTAATAAATAAATGTACCCATTTAAAAGCATCCATAATACATAAGACATAAATTTAGTCCTTAAAACGTGACCTTGAAAGTTGGTAACTTTCAACATTTATGAATTAAGTATTAAACATTATGGAATTGTTGGAATATGCGCATGCGTTGGTAGAATCATCTGCAGTTTCCTCCTATACATAACTCCACTATTTTAATTTAATGTTTTTGGAGCGAATTCAACCACATATTTATTTATTTCACTTTTCTATGAATCTAAAGACCAGAAAAAAAATCTTCATGCTCTATAAAAATTTGGTTAGGTTTGTATTTTCTGAAGTAGTTCTGAAATATTATGGTTATGTATTATGTCTAGTTATAAACCAATCTTAAATCTTATGAATTATGATTGTGGTTGAAGTTATGTTTATGACTTATGATTATGTACTATGTCCGTTTATAAACCTGCCTTAATACAAAACGAAGAAGGGTAGGAAAGTACCAGTGAAAATTTACAGTAATATTTACACGGGAATGGACGATCCTAAAAGATATGGCATATATCTTTCTAACTAACTAACTAAATAACCAACAATTGTGAAATTAAAAGTTATAGAATATTTTATGAGTATTTTGTTCATATTCATCTATTTCAGATATCCCTGCAGCAATAATAGGAGGAGTACTCGATTCTCACAAAGGTCTAAACTTCCGAAACTATAGCATTTTAGGAACAATCATTGCCCATGAGCTGACTCATTCGATGGGGATTCTGGACAACTTTATGAATGGAACAGAGGCACCAACATGGTCAAATGAAACATACGACCGGTTTCTACGGCAGTCCAAATGTCTAATCGACCAGTGTCTACAGTTTAACGAAACAGGAGTAACACTTGAGGTAATTAATTAAAGTATGTTCTATCTTTCATTATGCATAATATGCCCCATGTATTGCAGCTTTCGTGTCTTGATGGTTTCCAACATTTCCGTTGTTTTGTTGACTCTTCTCATGACTTCGTTGTTTGTTACATGCTCGATCCATGATATCTTCAGAATTCTTCTATACACATGCAGTTCAAATTCTTCTAACTTTTTAGTAGTCGATGCGTTAAGTGTCCATGCTTCTTTCCCGTAAAATTAGCTTTTGGAGGTTTTGGAGGTTGTCTGCTATTATGATAGTATCGCCCGTATATATAATGTTGTTAATTAATGTTCCATTGACCTTTATTCCTGCTGTTTCTCCCCAAAGAGCGCTTTTAATCATTTCTTTAGAGTATACATTGAATAGTCATCATCATTGGTTCCACAATCCATGGTGGATCTTGGTCTGCTCAAGGATAAGTCTCCATTCTCTAATATTCTTCGCCTTTGCTTTCCAGTTTCGTCTCCCAACATTCTCAAGTCTTCCTCCACCTAATTGTAGCGTTTACGCTACTGATTAACCCCTTTAGAAATTTTTATTACCCGCCTACGATCGATTTGAATCGACATTTTCCCCCACACGCGCTGTTATCGCTTTGAAAGGAAGATCGATTTTGTGCGGAAGCGAAGCGGTTAGTTTTGGTCAGAACTCAACGCAGCCACGTCGATCGGTGATCGTTATGTGTCGTTATATTTAAATTAGTTCTACTAAAATGAGGTACTAATGACAATATTGTAAAGATATCAAACTTGATAAATCTCTATTACAATTATATTAAATATATATTACATCCAAAAAGTGAGTTGTTCCATACTCATTATATAATATTTAAAAACAAACCACATTAAATTTATGTCCCTCTCAATATCAAATTGTATTATATTAACAAAATATTATATCCAAAAAAAAAGTGAGTTTGGTCAGACTCTGTATATTCTATTTAAAACCCCAATAAAAACATGTAAGGTATTTCCTTCTCTCCCAATAATATCAAAATTATATTTATCAAAAAATTAAATTATCAAAAAAAAGGTATTCACCTTATCATATGCATATGAAGAGGATATACTACTAAATAGGAAGTAACAACAGTTAAACAATTAAACAGTCAAACAACTTATCTTTACAGCCCCATAAGTCCATAGGAAAATTCCTCTTGGCACGGTTACATCAGTTTATGGCTGTAAAGACGAATCCTGGGCACAAAACCACAACCAGTCACTGGTCTCTGGGTGCAGCAAAATCCACGGGTTACATAAAGTTGCTAACTAGTTTAAGGATTCAGTTACTTGAGTCCTTGAGGGAATATTCTGAAGAGAATATCCTCAAGTGAAGTGACGGAATCTAAAATGATTATTTAATTTAATAAATACAATTCAATAGGTGTAGCAGCATGGATTGACTGCACCAAAACAAAACATCAAAACATTAGGTATTAGGTTATGTCAACATGTCAAAATTTCCGAAGTTCATTTCGTAGACATGACAGGCTTGCGCCATGAATAGAACATGCGCAGAATACAGAAGGCTGTACCACATTTGTAGAACCTTTTATATTCCACCAAAAAAAGTTAGGTAAAAAAAAAGAACCAAAAAAACTTAATGATAAGATATGGACTAAAACAGAATTTAAGTTTAACTATATAAAAAAAAATGACCTTCTGTTCTTTGCAAGTAAATCAAGGAAATTTTATATTTAAATTATTTCGGAACTCAAAAATAAATCTCTAAAGAAATACTAAACACAATGATAAATTTGATTATATGATAAAGAGATAATACGTATGAAATGATTTACTTACATGGAGCTGCACCACGCCAAAAAATCTTCCTTTTATGTGGAACTCTTATAAATATTGATTTTAAAAAATTTTAGTTATTATTATGATTAAGATATTTCTATTTTATATATGAATTAATTTATTCTTCCCCAAATTATTTTTCTGCTTCAATTCCGTCACTTTGAAGGTGAAAAATTTCACCGATCGACGTGGCTGCGTTGAGTTCTGACCAAAACTAACCGCTTCGCTTCCGCACAAAATCGATCTTCCTTTCAAAGCGATAACAGCGCGTGTGGGGGAAAATGTCGATTCAAAATCGATCGTAGGCGGGTAATAAAAATTTCTAAAGGGGTTAATCAGTAGCGTAAACGCTACATAATACTTACATCGTGCTCTGGGTCTGCCTCTCCTTCTCACTCCATCTATTCTTTGGTTTTAAATATGTTTTGGCGGATCCAGCCCATTCATTCTCCCTATGTGACCTAACCATCGCAGCCGGTTTATTTTGATATACCTAATAATATCAGGTTTGTTTGTAGTTGTCACATATTGTTTGATCTACTTTCTTGCGGATAGGTACAATTATACCTGCATTCCAGTCTTCTGGCAACTTTATTTGCTTCCAGATCAGTTCTACCAGTCTACATATACCGTATGTCAGGTTTTTCTTTCCATGCTTTAAAAGTTCTGAAGGAATCCCATCTGTTGACTTCTACCTCCGTTCAGATGCTATTTTTCTCTCTTTCATCTTCAATGTCCTCGAGTTGGATTTCTGATTCGTGGAGCCCTGACTCACCTCTTATATTTAACCTTTCCTCAAAGTTTTTTGCCCACCTTTCTAGTATCTGGTCCTGATCACCAATGATCTCCCCTGTTCTATTTCTAACGATTGATAAGCATGCTTTAAAAGTTCTGAAGGAATGAACTATATAGTAGTGGTGACAATACACTCTTCTGTCGCACTCCTTTTTTAATTTAACACCCATTGCTCTAATCTGTAGAGCCATACTGGCTTTAGAACTGGTTTTTAATTACCTTTTTGATACATTTTTTATGTTTATTGAATATATGTGAATGTGAATCTTCCGTTAACGTAAAATCAAACTTGATTGTACTAATATACGTTTCTTTTTATTGTGATCTATATATATACTAATCCGTATATTAAATTACAGTTATGCTCATGTTTATACATTTTTTAGACTTGCTACTCGACCTTCGATGAAAACTTTGCAGACTACACATCGGTGGACGTCTCCTACGAAGCTTTCAGCAAAGTCAAACTGGAACAAATCAATCAGTTACCGGGCCTGAAATACAATTTGAATCAATTGTTCTGGATCAGTTATGCGTCTACAATGTGCGACAGTGATGACAACTCTACGAGTTTAAATCGAGTGCATTTGGAGCCTCCTCAAAGGATATTGGGGTCGTATAGGAACTCGAAGCATTTTGCTAAAGATTTTAACTGTACACTAGGAACATATATGAATCCAGTTGATAAATGTTACGTGCTTTAAATATATAGTATAGTTTGAATTTGAATGTAGTTGTCTTTAAAATAAATCGTAAAGCCTTTGAAAGTTTATACAGATTCTCATATTCAAGACGTTTGATGGAGCAAAAAGAAACAAACCTCTAAGATTTATTAAGTTGTTAGTTGTTTGATGTTCTCGTATTATTATTATATAACCAGCGCTAGAATTTGAAGTTTGCTATTAATTTTTTAATCCTTTTAGTCTTCACTTTTTTGTTACCATTATGTTTCTGTCATAAAATCACAGCTAAATACTTTTTATTTTATTCAAAGTTTAAATTACGATTTAAGATTCAATTAAGTTTAGTAGCTCTTCTGTATACCTGTTTTCTTTTTTTTTATTCTATGACTAATGACCACGTCGTTACTGTTAAGTACCACTTACCTTCTCACAATTCTCCTCTTTCAGATTTCCTTCTGATTCCCTCGTGTGTTATAAAAGTAATTTTACATAATATGTATTTGTATTATATTATCACTTTTTTACAAAAATTATCAGATTGATTATTTTAAATTATTGTTTATTATACCTTGTAAAAACGTTTACATTTTCGTAGTAAAATTGATGTGCCTATGGACAATGTTTGTGTATTATTTATAAAACCTTAATACGCGACAAAAGTTATATGAAAACTTCTTCGACAAGATTAAACAACGAACAAAATCTAATGTCTTAATTCTTCTCATCTTAATTTTTAGAAAACCATTACTTATTAAGATAGTCAAAGGCATGAGGAAAAAATGAGGAAAAACAAAAATAAACATTAACTTTCAGTATGCTCAAAAAACTGCAATGGAAAACATATTTTGTGACCTATTTTTATTTAAAATTTTCTGTTTTTGTTCTATGCAATAAAAAGCCCACAAATACGAATACTGTCTAATGTCTGTTGTTTCCCTCTTATCGCTTATGACACAGATTGGTATCCATTCATAGTGTTCCATCCGTTGATGATGCTGTTATCAACTTCTTCATTTATCCAATACCAAACTTTTTGTATCTTCTATCTGTACAAAAAGGGAGTACATATGTGGGAAATTATTAGTATAATTTCAGTTATGTGGACTGTATTATATAGGGCTGGTTCAAATAAAATAGGATAAGTAGTTAAAGGTATACAGACAATAGCAAATTAAGTTTATAGAAAGTCTTACCAATATTTTTTCTGCTCCACACTCTCACGGTTGTTTCCGGTCTTCACTCGTTGTTATTCTTCATCCGCGAAATCTGTCCGATGCACCGGTTTCTGAACACGTGTTTCGCAAATATATCACGATATAGAGCACACTTTGTCTGCACACGATTTAATACAGTATTTTCGATATTTCTCGTGTAACTAAAGCGGGAAAGAGGTAATTACGATAGAAAAACAGCCAAGATAGATGCCGTTCTTCTTGATAAGCGAAGAGAGAGGGAGAATGAGGACGTCTGGCTCTAACGATGGCCAAACTAAGAGAGTTGAGAATGGTTGAGAACTGTAAGTAGGAAGGGTTATTAAGGGTTGGACTAAGATAATTATTGTAAAATTATGATATAAGGATAGTTAATAATACAGCGAAAAAATGACATGATTTTTCGCGTGTGAGAAAATTGAACATCATCATCACAAACATAATTGTTTATGCTAGCTCTTATTACGTTATCGACTATTTTAAGTATCATTTTTGAGGTGTAATCGCTTTGCGCTTGATTCGTTTATTTCATTTAAAAATAAATTTATTTCAAATTTACCAGACGACACCTTTAACACATAAAGACTTTCATTAGCTTTAAGAAGACAATACACAAATATAAAAGCCAGGAATTCGTAGCCTATTATATACGTATAAAATAATCTTGAACTAAAACGAATTATCAGAAAAATAGGTAAGAATTTTATCGATTGGAGGCCGCACGGCCCAAATCCCAATTATCAATTTTTTATTTTTTGGGTTTGGATTATGTCTTGTTTGAGCGATTCTTATCTGTGCCCATCTCCAAATCTTCATCTAGTTTATCATCTTTAAGAACATCTGATGCAAAAAAACATAAACAACAAACTATCAAACCTACTAGAATGCTCTAAAAACTAGAAGTATGTTCTAAAAACGAATATATTATTGTGTATCATACCTTGATCATACCTGGACAGTGGCTAAAGACTGCAAAATATCGAGAGTGGTATAAAAAAATATACCAGGAATACCAGGAATAAAGAAAGCTGAGCAACTATTTAGAATAGCTCGAGACAGAGACAGTTTCGCCATGTTAATCGCCAACGTCAAGGGGACTTGATAGGGCACGTTAAGAAAAAGAGGTATAAAAAAGGCATTGAATTATGGGTGAGTCTCAAAAACCTCAAAAAAAAAACAAAAACGGAGATATAAAGCTAACAAACTATAGTATTAGTATAATCAGAAAATTAACAGCCATGATTAAAACAATACACCTGTTTAGTAAAAATACAATAATACCAAGAAACTTAAAAGCCAGAGGGTCCACACAGAAGCCCTGAGAAAAAACGGACATATATCATACACGAGAACATCATACAGTTATGATCTATATAAAGATTAACAACAGCAAGAACTTTTTCACTAAAACTGTGACGAAATAGAAGAAAACCTGATACAATCGAAATCTGAATGGAACTGGTGGTCTATCAAACTCTAGATGGAATCAGGTCCAGATATGATAAAAGCATAAATGCTCAATGATATACAAGGAACCAGGAATAAAAGGGCTTTATTTGATCTGCAATCACATGGGGCATATAAAACAATGGCTCGCTGGCTGGATACAAACTACAATTCCGAGAATACACAGCCGAGAATACACTGTAGGAGATGCTATACAGCAATAAGAGACGAAAAACTTTCCTAAAAGTGAGAACCTACAAAGAATACCAGAAGGAAAGACCGTATTTGAAAGTACTTTTTCTTCTTCTTATTCACTGCCTTTAGAACTCGGGGTAAGTCTTCGCAGCATCCACTATCGCCCTCCATCCTCTACGATCTTGCACTTCTATTTCCCATTGTTGTACCAAAATTTTAGATAAATCGTCTTCAACATCATCCTTCCATCTTTTTCTCGGTCGACCTACTGATTTTCTACCATCTAGTCTTTCAAAAAACACTGTTTTTAACACTCTGTCATTCTCTGATTGTACCACGTGACCTGCCCATCTTATTCGATTTGACTTGATATGTCTAAGTATGTTTTCAGTTCCATACAGAGTCACCAATTCAGCATGTGCGGCATCTTGTCCAATCCCCTGTAAATTTATCGCTTTGAGGGCCAAATATTATTCTGAGAACCTTTCTTTCAAATACTAGAAGCTTTTTGATTTCCCGCTGATTGAGAGTCCATGTTTCACTTCCATACGTAATAATTAGGCGAATAATCGACTTGTACAGTGTTAATTTAGATATTTTTTTAGTAGCTTCAATCTTAATAATGGTGAAATGGAGTATATTGCTCTATTTCTCGCAGCTATCCTTGCTGAGACCTCTTTTTCTATGTGGTGGTCAGCTGTGATTATCCGCCCCAGGTATTTAAACTCCTTAACTACTTCGAAGTTGTGATCATTAATACTGATGTTCTGCCTAACTCGTGGTCTTGTATTTTTGGTTACTAGCATGTATTTCGTCTTTTCTTCATTTATTCGGAGATCCACACTACCTGTTTCCTCCTTGAGCTGTGAGAACACCTCTCTCACGTCTCTTGTAGAATGCGTGACTGTCTGAATCTATCTATATCATCAGCAAATGCCAGCAACAGTTTTGATCCTTGATCAGCAAATCCTCCTGTCAGCTCAGACGATATTTTACTTATTGCATATTCTAAAGCAAAATTGAACAGGACAGCAACGGTGACAAGGGGTCCCCTTGACTATGTCCTGAATTTATACCAAATGGCATCGATGTTCTGCTTACTATCTTTACTTGCGCATATGAGTCTGTCACGCACATTTGCGTTAATTCAACTAATTTTCTTGATATTCCCATTTCTAATATTGCTATCCACAATTTGCTTCTTTTTATGGAATCATATGCTTGCTGGAAATCTATGAAAATTTGGTGCACATCGCGGTTGAATTCCTGGTAAATATCTGATCTATAGTTGACTTTTCAGCACGAAAGCCGCATTGGTAGTCGGCTAGAATATCATCCGAATATGGTGTGAGTCTCAGCAAAATAATTGATAGCACTTTATATGGTGTGCTAATAAGGCGACATGCCTCTATAATTTCAGAACTGTTCTTTGTTTCCCTTCTTATATACGGGAATTAAAACGCTTCCATTCCATTCTCTAGGCATTTTCTGTTGTTGCCGTACTCTCAGAATGATGTTATAAAATTTTTTGGTGTAAAAGGTTTCCTCCTCTTTTTAACAACTCGCCATTTATGTCATCGTTTTTGGTGCTTTATGGTGTTTTAGAGACGCGATCGCATTATTTACTTCCTCAAGTGTTGGTGCTTTTATTTCGATATCTGCAGAATGAAACACACTATGAAAGTATACGAGAATATATTTTGCATATGAGAGAGCTATAAATCAAGTAAATTCAACTCCACTACTTAAAATATTTCAGATATGGATTGACCAGATCACAAAACATAAAAGTTTGTAAATATAAATAAGTGTACAAGACCTCTAGAAGCAATAAAACTACTAGACGAGGAGAATATCGAAATCTTGGTAAGGCTGTTCAATAGAATTTATGATACTGGTTACATTCCGCGAGAATTGCTGCAATCATCCTTTGTGATGATCCCAAAAACAGCTAATGCCACCAAATGCAATGAACACCGCTTAATCAGTTTAATGAGTCACTTGCTGAAACTCTTCCTTAGGATATTAGTCTCAAGAATGTACAAGATACCAGAAGAACTTAGCGGGTCAACACAATTGGGTTTTAAGAGGAGGACTAGGAACAAGAGAGGCAATTTTATGTTTGAACACCTTAATTCAAAACTGCTTAGATCAACGAAAAGATGTCTACCTCACCTTCATCGACTACGAGAAGGGCATTTGACAATGTTAAACATGATACCATCATGGAACTACTACATAGGGCCAAACATTGACCAGAAGGAGATCAGAATTATTCAGAATCTATACTGGAACCAAATGGCAAAGGTGAGGATTGATCAAGAATAATATAGGATGAATTTGAAATGCGGAAAGGTGTCCTAAAAGGCTGCCAAGGCTGCATACTCTCTCCAATGCTTTTTAATTTTTATGTTAAAATATATTTGCGGAAGCATTAGAAGACACGAAATTAGGCATTAAGGTGAACGGCCTACCAATTAACAACCTACGCTATGCGGGACGACACAGTGATTATAACTGATAATTCGGAAGATCAGCACTTATTACTTGATAGGGTAAATAGCATAGGTAAAAAATATGGCCTCAAAATAAACATTTTGAAAACGAAATATAGGGTCATTAGCAGAAACCCCTCCAGAAAACCCGATAATATGCATAGGTGACGATCGTATAAAATGCGTGAAAACTTTTAAATACCTTGGCACCACAATCAATGACCAATCGGATCCACAACACGAGATAAAACCCGAATACAAATGGCAGACGAGCTTTTGTGAAATTCAGACTGCACCTATGTAATCAAAACCTAAATTTCGAAATACGCTACAGTATGTCAAGTACTACATATGGTCCATTTTGCTTTATGGCATGGAAACATGGGCTTTGAAAAAAACATCTATCAACAAACTTGATGCATTTAAAATGTGGTCATTAAGAAGAATGATGCGCATACCTTGGGTGGATAGAGTTCGAAACGATGACGTCCTTAATAGAGCCGGCGTGGAAAGAGAACTCTTTGAATTAATTAAAAAAACGCAAGATTGGTTACCTTGGGCACATATTGAGAGGAGCAAAATATGAAATACCACAGTTAATCCTACAAGGGAAGATCGAAGGTAGGAGAGGAGCCAGCCGCAAACAATTATCCTGGTTAAGGAATATTAAAGAATGGACAGGAATACACAATACAGGCGAGCTGTGTCACGCCGCCAAGAACAGAATTCTAGTAATGAGTTAGTCGCCTACGCACTTTGGTGTATGGCATGTTAAGAAGAAGAAGAACAAGACCTCTATGTATGAAACAAATTGCTATAATAATCCTACAGGTGAGCATTAATAACGGTGAACCATACTAGAAAGACGTTATAATTACTAAAATAAAAACTGGTTTTAAAATATAAGTAGGTGGTCACAATTAATCTTAATTTTCATAAAAAATTTCAACTATTTCGTCCAAATATCCTCCCATACAAAAAAAACAGACATACCCAATTGAGATACCTAATTATTTTCGTTTAGTCATAATTTTACGACACGCCAGCGACGATATGACTAATTTTTTTTAGTATTGTTAACCGCGGTTAACCGTGAATGGGATGATTCTTGCGGCAATTATCGCCTATTTAGAAAATTTAGAACGATTTAGGTGAATTTAGAGCAGTTCGCGAATTACGGGCTTTCGTCTAAAAGCGGAGATATGCGTGGAAGGTGATATGGCTTTACTAAAATGGTTTAAGAGAAGAAGCAAACTAGAACAAGGTTTGGTGTGTTGTGTTTTCGCGTTAGTTGTCGTTATTATTGTTTTGTTTTGTTGCTTCTTGACTTCTCATGGTAAGTTTCTTTTTTTAATAAAAAATAAACAATGCAGGCATTATAGAGTCAATTAATTTTAATAAACAGTACAAGAATCAAGTAAACTATAGCCGTTAAGGTAGCCAACAGTTTATAAGAACACTGTAAAGCAAAAATATATACAATGTAAAAAGTTATTTTTAAAATATGTTTATTACGGTTAAAACCAAAGTAATGTGTTTTTCTCGAAAACATCAAATTGTTGCAAACCTTTCAAAATTAACACTGTATGATCAAGTTTTAAAAAACGTTAGGGAACTTAAATTTCTAGGTATCATTTTTGATTCAAAACGTACTTGGAACAAACACATCCAATTACTTAAAAAATCATGTTTATAGAACATAAATATTCTTAAAGTACTAGCAATTCATAACTGTGGTGCAGACACAACACGGCTACTAAATATGTCCTTAATCCGCAGTAAATTACATTATGGATCAATTGTATATAATTCAGCATTCAAAAAATTAGATATTGTACAAAATACCGCACTAAGACTAGCTCTAGTAGCCTACAGAACCTATCCAGTTGAAAGTCTTTATGTCGAAGCGAATGAATCTCCACTTTCTACTAGAAGATTACGTCTCAGTTTATAATACGCAACCAAGCTATCAACTAATTAAAACAACACTACGCGTTCTCCACACATTATCATTCTAATTGCAATCAAAATAAAAATCCTGAACCATCATTTAGCAAAAGAATTAGCAACTTCGCATTTCCGGGTATTATGCATACCAATATTGATTTGTCAGATCTGTCAACTTATACTAAGGACAATACTCCTTCATCTATTTTTCTCCAATACTTCTACAATAATAAAAGTAAATATTTATCCTGTCAACTAGTTTATACCGATGTATCAAAAACACCCGAATTGGAAACAGTAGGATTCGCCATTGTCATAGAGGAGTATGTGCTCCTCAAGTTTCCACTACCTAAGAACTATTCAATATATTCTTAACAAACTCTTAATCCACCTAAAGACATGACAGTAATATTTACAGATTCCTTAAGTGCAATACAGGAAATTCAGAAAATATATCCGAATCATCCAACTTTAGAACAGATTAAAAAAGACCTTGTCACTCTACAAAATAATCATAAACAACTGTGCTAACAATGTGACATCATTATGTCGAAAGAAGTCTATTGTGACCCTTGCAACATATGGTCTTGCATTATCTTGTTGGAAAAGTTGGATTTGCCAGGGTGTCAAGAAAGGGTAAAAGGTGGGCTCTAGAACTTCTTAGATATAACGCTGCGCGTTCATGTTACCTCTGATGAAGATTAAAGGTGACCTGGAACCATAATCTATAGCATCCCAAAACATAACACCAACAGTGTGATGAACATGTCTTTCAACAAAAAACTGTGGATTCCTCCTTTCACGACGTCGTCTTCTAACCCTCGCTCGACCATCGTGCATTCCTAAACAAAATCGAAACTCGTCAGTAGAGGTGGTAGTGCAGAAACGGTCTCTTAAGGCCAATAATCTTGGGCGGCGATCTTCACGGTCTGTTGTTCTACGGCGGCGTCCAGTGCCCCTCGCTCTGTGCGTACGGCCTTCTTGAAGCCATGCCTGACAAACACTTATCACGGTGTCTACACTTATTAGCACTCTGCAACTTCCCGAAAAGAAAGTTTAGCTTCCCGAAGTCCCATTATACGGCCCTTATCAAACTCACTAAGTTGACGAAATCGTACAGGTCTCCGTACTCTAGGCATCGTAAACCAATCGTAAAGAACGTTAAGAACCACAATCCGCCAAATATGGATTTTTAATGCGGCTTAAATATTCATTTTTAGATTGTAAGTGAATTTAAAAAACAAAAAGTATACAAACCGGAATCTCCAAGTGATAAGGCTAAAAAACTTTATCACTTGTTTTTTTTTATTAAGATAAATGAATTACACGAATTTTTATTGAAATAAAATCATTTAAACTGGGTGTTCGGATTTCTATATCACTTAGTATATTATAGTCTATATGGTACCACCGCTAATAACCTTCTATGGTTGATGCAGGTTATCCCCAATAAAAAAAAATGTTTATATAAATCGTCGTGTTGATCCTAATGCTTTTATATGAATTTTAAACAAGAGACAAATCTTCGTTAAGAATACTTCTGCGCTGAAAGTTTATTAAATAGTAGGTAATGACAGATACACTACATATATTTTTCTAAGCTTTACCCCTATTCAGATACCTTTTATTTCACCTATGTCTATACATAAAAATGTTTATGGTTGTGACTCAAGAACTGTATTGAATGTAAAGCAATCAACGATTTGTAGAAGAAACAAATCGTATTCATCAATGCTAACATCTCTAGAACCCTAAAAATACAGGTAATTTTCAAAATGTCAGGAAAAGTTAAAATAATATAGAAACAACACGTTTTGTGACGAAAATATTTTAGACGTATTCATATAAAATAATTAGAGGTGGGAAAAACAAATCAACTATTTAGATGAAATATATTGTAATGATGAATATTTACTTAAAGAAGTATCATCATCATCATCATCATTATAAGTGGATCGACAATCCGTTGAAGATATTGGCCTGCTGACAAAGAAGTCGCCGCTTCTGATTGATTCCAGGCAACTTTCCTCTATCTTCTGACCTTAAAATCTGTAGGTCTTCTTCCACGTCAATCAATCCATCTCCTTCGTGGTCGTCCTTTTACATCTTGTGCCCTCTGGTTTTGAAAATGCTAATCTCTCTATGTTATTCGTGATCTGACATCCTAGCAAGTATCCAGCCCATCTAAGTCTCTGCTCTTTAACAAACTTCACAATATCTGGATCGGTGTATACAGTTCAAAGTTGTTTCTTCGACGCCATGGCCCATTTTTATTTACGGCCCCAAAAAACCTTTTTAAGAATTTTTCTCTCGAAAATACGAGTCTAAGTCTTTCATCATTTTGAGATGAGGTCCACGTTTCAAGACCCATATATCAAAACTGGTGTTATCAAGGTCTTGAAAATATTGAGTTTTACTGCACGTTTTATATGTTTATTTTTTAAATGATTTTGTTGATCGTGGAGAGTTCTGATTGCTATAGCTATGTGTCTGTTTATTTCGTCGTTTGTCATGTTTGTTGCGTTTACTAGCGATCCTAAATATGTGAATTTTTTGACTTGCTCCAAGGTATGGTTGTTAATTTGAATTTTCTGTTGGATATTTTGGGGGGTCTACAAGTACACCAGAGCATAGGATTTAGTAAAGCAAGCAAATCCCTAAGAACGAAGAGAAAAGAATACGTTCATATCAGCCTAATACAGCCTAATAATAGATTGAATATATTATTATCAAAACCTACTGACTGAAGATAGTCCACAATTTTTTATTAAAGATAATGACCAGGCTTTTTAGTCAGAAACATATTTTATAGAAGAAAAGTCAATATTACCAACTGGAGTAAAGAAACTCCTAATGACAATAAAAATGGACGAGTTAATGGACCTACAGGACTCTATTTTGAACTGTTAATGTATGGACCGAACACGGACTCGCTACTGCAAAGGCCAAATACTGCCACCTAAATGGAAAACAGTCTTAATATCAAATATCCAAAAAAGGATGACATAAGAAAGTGCTGCAATTATAGAGTTTTAAGTGTAAAAAAGTGTGCTTTTAGACTTCACAGTAAAATTATAAAAGAAAGATAGAGAACCAAGTTACCAAAGATGAGAAACCATGTCTAAAACAGCTTTTAGAAAACAGAACAGCTAGAAACTTAGCTAGAAATACGTCATTTGATATTCTTAGACCTAAAAAAAAGACTGTGATAGTATCTTCCTCTTCGTCAATCATTTTCTACCGACTTCTGAATGTAGGTCTTCTTAATTATTTGCACCTTTCTCTATCTTGCTTCAATCTAATACATTGTTTGCCTGCCACTGCTCTAATCTCATTTATCCATATCTTTTAAGGTCTTCCCTTGTTTCTTGTCGTCCTCCTTGGACTCCATTCTAGGATTCTCGGCGTGTACGCCTGTTATCATCATATTTTGGCTATGTTACCAGCCCAGCACTATTTAATTTTTGTTATTTCATCTACGATATCCCTGATCTTCGTAGCATATTCCTCAGTAAATTGTGTCCTGCAATAAACTGTTAAAAATATGTATACCAATATAACAGGTAGTATCAAGGTCGGAAAAAGCTTTCTAAGGAATTTCTATTTCTAGAAAAATTACTAAAGACGCACTTGTTATAACATGGGTATATCTATGACGATACACTTTTTACTTTGCAGATTGCTGACTACCAAATCATATTAGTTTAGTGTAAAGTAAGATATATGATCAGAAAGTTGGATGAAGACTATACGGCTCGGAATTTGACAATAAATATGAAAAAGACCGAATATCTAGTTGTTGGAAAAGCAGATTGAAATAATCTAGTGCTAGACCACTGTGGAATTGTAAATTGTTACATCTAAATTGCGTGCAGTGAAACAAACAAATTAGACAATCTACAACACCATAGTCAAAAGCATCGCAACTTATGGTGGGGAGGTCTAACAAATGATAGAATATTTATAACAGAAGGTACTGTGTATTAAAAAGGGTTTTGGGAGAGGTTATTGTAGGCTAACAATTAAAAATAAGAAATGACGAGGTACGGTAAAGAAGGGGTATTAAAACAACAATAATTGACACCATTTAAGCCAAGCCTTTGAAGTGGTAATGACTGGCGAGATAGAAAGCGGTGAATGCCAGACGCGACTATGATAATGCAAATATAATCGCAATCTATATAACTTGTAGATAATTTTAGAAGTATTTTTGGATAAAATGAAATCGTAGGCTTCCACGGCCAGAGTCAGAATTATAGTTTATTCGTCTTCCGGGTTTGGACCGTGTCATTTGTGAGTGACCCAAAAGTGGGTTTCATCTCGACGTTTCGCTACAATTGTATGTAGCTTCTTCAGGAGAACAAAGAAAAAGAAAACAAAAGAACAGGAAGATGGGTAGTTAGCAACGGTAACTCAGTTACTCAACGCAACCAGAGGCGAATACTAACTACCAAGATGGGCATTTGGTCACAGTAACTCAACTACTCAACGCAGCCAGAGGTGAAAACCAAATGCCAGGACAGGGATTCACGTCCAACAGCTCAGAACACTAACGCGTCGAGAGGCGGGGAGTGAATCCCTGTCCTGGCATTTGGTTTTCACCTCTGGCTGCGTTGAGTAGTTGAGTTACTGTGACCAAATGCCCATCTTGGTAGTTAGTATTCGCCTCTGGTTGCGTTGAGTAACTGAGTTACCGTTGCTAACTACCCATCTTCCTGTTATTTTGTTTTCTTTTTTCTTTTTCTTTGTTCTCCTGAAGAAGCTACATACAATTGTAGCGAAACGTCGAGATGAACCCACTTTTGGGTCACTCACAAATGACACGGTCCAAACCCGGAAGACGAATAAACTATATTTTTGGATACTTAATTTTCCTTCTTTCGCTTAGTTGTCACATAGTCAATACCTTTATAGTAGAGAGGTATACAATCTTTTTATATAAAATTTTATTTTGACTTCATTTCTTATCCTTTTAATTATCATTTCCAGATGGAGTGTGTACCAGTCCAGCATGTCTTCGGGCAGCTGTCCATATCTTGGATACGGTCGATCCTGAGGCAAACCCATGCGACGACTTTTACAACTTCACATGCGGTAACTTCATGAAAAATTCCATAGCCAAAGACGCTCCTACTGTTCTGCATGCTTTAAAAAGCTTATCGGAAAATCAACTCAAGGAAATTGTCACGGAAACAAGAAATGAAACTGATCTACCGAAAAGTTTGGTGTTTCAACGGAGCTTTTATAGAGCTTGTTTGGACACGGAGAAAATTGAGAGCGATGAAGATAGGACGTTTCTGAGGCTTTTAGATGAAGTAAGTAAAGATAGATAATTGGCGTTTGTGCATAAACAAATTTGAGTCCAGTGTACAGACTTTATGGTGTTTTTTTAATTGTATAAAAAAGAAAAGAAAAAATATTGATCAAATTAGATCCAAGTAAAAAAAAATAGAACCCGCAATTTTTGCCTACCACAATATCTATCCTTGTAGGATACTTTATATTTGACCATAGCCCTGAAGATGGCTTTGTAAGCCGAAAGTGCTCAGCTAGGAAATTATTTACACACTTGAAAAATACTTCCCTGTTCTAACTTTTGTTACAAAAATATATCCAGTCTTTTCATTTCATAAGAAAATTATTAAAAAAAATAATTAAAAGAAAAATAAGTAATCAAAAAAATAACATGATAATATTTTTTACTTACAATAATTGTGTGATTTGGCACGTATAAAAATAACATACCTGAAAAAGAAAAATGCCTGTTAAAAATTGTTACTGTTAAAATATAAGTGTTGTTTTATTGAACTATTAGGGTAATGAATGCCGTTCTATATTATATAGGCGGTACTAAAATACTCATCGTATATGAATACACCTATTGTGCGATACCGATAGTGTATAGTAAATGTGCAGGAGGCGGTACTTGACCTTGTCTAATAAATTTTCTAGTACTGCCTACAGTTCATATGATTCGTCGCTGAAGTGTATGATTCATCATCTGTTAAATACGATTGGAATAATTTGAAGGTCTCACAAACAAAATGTGAGTTTTTGTTGAAATGAATTAATAATATCTAAAATTGAATTTGTATAAGCCGAAAATTAGATAAAAATCATAATGGAATAAGAAAAATAAAATAGAGTAGCACATAAACCAATTCATTAGAATTGGTAAATTTAATATTTTATTAAATTCTTTATTAAATTCCCATTCATAAGAAAGGCGATCCAAAATTAACAAATAATTACAGACCAATCTCACTAATCACTTCACTTTGCAAGATATTGGAAAAGGCTATAAAATATCAACTAGTATTATACTTAGAAAAAATATAAGTTAATTTCAAACAAACAATATGGTTTTAGGGAGGGAGTATCCGCGGAAAATGCAATATCGTACCTATCTAACAAAATTTACAACTTAGTTGACAGCAGTACACCAACAGCTTGTGTATTCCTAGACCTGGCAAAGGCGTTCGATACGGTTAGTCACTCACAACTATTAGATACTTTAGCAGACATTGGTATAAGAGGAAACACATTTAACTTAATGGAAAGCTACTTAAAAAATCGATATCAAAGAGTGCGACTAGAAGGGAAATTGAGTAGTGCTAAAAGCATAAATTTTGGTATACCACAAGGGACTGTACTAGGACCCATATTATTTATACTGTACATAAACAATATTCTTACTTACCGGAGTGAAGGTGAGATATTAGGTTTTGCAGATGATACAGCAATTTTGTACTCTGCAGACACGTGGATGGAACTAAAGCGAAAAATGGAACATGACTTAGGAAGAATTATTGATATATTTAATCACAAACTTCTTACAGTAAATATGGATAAGACAGTTTATGTTCCATTTACAAGCTATAATAGCTACCAGATTACAAATTTATAAAAATAAAAAATCTGAGTATAAATGCAGTGAGTAACACAAAATACCTTGGTGTTCAAATCGACTCGTATCTACGATGGGATATACACATAAACCAAACGTGTAAAACATTGAGATGTCTATTGTACAAAATGCGATATTTACGTAATATACTGGATATCCATCATCTGAAGGTTATTTACTATTCTTTGGTAGAATCGCGTCTACGTTATGGAATCCTTAGTTGGGGTGGAGTTGCAAATACATACCTCCACCAATTAGACATTATCCAAAGAAAAATATTAAAAATTATTTACAATAGACCTTCGAGATACCCTACTAATGATCTTTATACCGAAACTCAAATGTTAGATACAAGACAGTTATATATTCTTACAATAATCACCAATTTATACAAAAATAAACACTTACTCACACCATTAGGGCATACCTATCATACGAGAAATAGAGCACAGTCTTTTGTCAAATTAAATATTGCAAAGAAAACAGTTGGTAAACGAAATTTTGAGTATTTACAAGGAAGAATCTACAATTTGCTCCCTGAAATTTACAAAACATACCTAATCACTATAAACTCGCAAAAAATGATTAAGACATTGTTTACTAGGTATTTGAAACAAAATCATAGACAACTGCTCAGCCACCTTTTTGAGACCAACTAGGTTATAACTAACGTCAAATCAAGAATAGATTACGAAATCTTAAAAATTTATATATGCTATTATCTTGGTTGATTGTATGCATGAATTGTCTCTCTCTTGTTAATTAATTAATAAAAATTTTTTTGTTATTTTTTTGTTTTATCTTAATATAGGTATAAGTGTAACTAATAAAGTAGTAAAACTCGCCTTGCTGTAGGATCAATATAAATAAGCAATTTAAAAAATGGCCCATGCTCAACTTAATTGTTTTAATGGGCACTACTGTTTATTTACCTTGAACCAATTACAGAACTACAAAGTAAAAGTAATATTTTTTAAAATTTTATTGTCATTTAATTATTTTATTGTAATATTATTAATTGTATATTTCATGGAAATAAACGTTATTATTATTATTATTATTAATGCATAAGGGTGAAGATGCGAAGGCACTTGGGGTGAAATTGTAAACTAACTCCTCCTGTTTCATACCACATATATCACACATGTAATTATATTTTGGAACAATCTTCCTGCAGCCCAAGTTAACAGCTAACATCGTATCGTCTTGATAGAGGATATCCAGCGATGAGTCGAATTCCATGTTAGTGGTACACGCTCTCTTTGGTTACCGTTTTTTCTTTGATGGAGGTTGGCAATGTTTTCTGGAGAATTCAAAATCTCAGCTGGAGTTCTAAAATTGTTTATTGAAAATGTAACTTATCTAAACATTTTATGTTTGATATTTTTCTGTTGCCACTGTTAAAGTCAAATCTAGTGCTTTTAATGAAGAATACATGATTTCCTGTGGATATTCCGCACAGCCCAGTTATAATGAAGTTTACCTGGTTTCACGCTCTTGATGTTTATCAACTTCTGTTGTTGGTTTTTCTGAGGAATTCGTGGTTTCCTGCGAATGCGAACAATCTGGTTAAGATGAAGTAGGTCTATTTTCACGCTGTTCGTTATTTTTCTGTTGGTGATCTGAATCTCATGCTAAAAAGGCGTACCTCGGTGATTGCATCAGGATTATACGCGACGATTTTTGTCCCTCTGAATCCCTATATTGCGTTGTTTGTCATAGCTGCTTATACTAATGCCTTTTTAAGTAGTCCACCAAACACTAGTTTCGAAATTTTTTTATTTGGATTCATTTTAATGTAGGAAATTCAAACATTTTTCCTCTTCTTCTTTTGGCGCCTATTCGTTTCGAATATTTTCAATCATTCTGGCTATAATTATATGTTTTAAATATATTAGTTGTTGTTGGTTGTGGAGGACCATTTCCTTAGGTTTTTTAAACCATGATATTTTTCCTCTCTTTTCGAATACTTTGCCTTGAAGGATTATTTTCAGTAATCTGTATTTCGTGCCGTTTCTTATTATGTGTTCGAGATATTCTGACTTTCTCCTTTTCATCGTATACATCAGTTCTCTTTCTAATGTTTCACAAACATTCTAATAATAGGATTTTAAAGCTTTAAAAAATAATCTGTCTGGTGGCTGTAGATAATGGGTAGTGTGGCTGGGTAGACAGAGCAAAACTATGTTACTTTTCAGTGCTTAATCTATGTCTATCTAAAATAAGTAGGACTGTTCCCTCAGGCTTTTTTTTCACCATCATTGTCGTTGGATTTGAACGTACTTTCTAAATGATCTGCAAATCATTCTGGTTTCTGTTTGCTACTTCTAGCCCAGTTGCCGTTTTCCAACTTGATAGGAGGAGAATGAATAATTGGTCTCTTTACTCGTTTTGTTGCCTTTCATAAGGAATAATCTGTATTCTGGTGAGTTGTTAAGTTACTTAAAACAGGAGTAACTGTTGAATTTTTTATATTCTGTATCTCCCTTTTTAAATTTTGTGTAGCATTATTTAGACTAGTTTTGTCTCGTGGATCTCCCTATTTCTGGCATTTTTTCTTAACTTTTTTTTTCCTATGAATTCTCTGATTTCTTTTGGGTAGTTGTTTGAAAATCTGATAACAAACAATATTTGTCCCTATGTATATACCTATCTTTTTTAGATAGTCAATATATAAACCTTTTCTTCATGTTTTGGTTTATGTTTTAGGCAATTGGAGGCTGGCCAATCATTAAAATGCACACCTGGAACGAACAAAAATATACTTGGCAAGGCGCTACAATCCAAGCTAGGAAACTAGGTCTATACAATGGATTTTTCATCTCAATTCAGATCTACGAAAATCACACAAATGACGGAAGAATGTTGTGGGTAAAGTTTAAACAATTTCTATTGTTTTCATAATAAATTATTTTCATTTCAGTATTTTCAACAGATTTTCCCTTTCAGCTTCTTTTTGACGAGTATATTTCAATGTTTTTTTGTCTTAGAAATTGTAAGACAGACAAATGGGTATTTATACGAGCTCAATTATATCATACTAAATACGACCAGAACATCACAAGAATAAAAATACTGTTCGAAACAATATAAAATTTAATATTAACTATCACTCAACCTGTCAAAACAAGATATGCCCCACAGAAATAAGCGTTTAAACTATTAATTATAAAACAATTTATTTATTAGATCATGTGAGTTTAATGACCTCGGCATTTAAATCTGTTCGAATTATTTAAATATTAAAATCATTAGGCTCATGCTTCTGCTTATGTTCGTTTTACGTGCCCGACATCCTCGTTGGATTTTTTTGCATAATATCCATGTAGAAACGAATTATTCATGGGACAGATTGTTCCATTCTTGTTTTAAAGAAAACAAATGAGGTATGTAGATAGTTTACAATGCTCGACGTGTCCTACAAGCGTCATTACTCACATCAATTTAAAGACATAGAGACATAGGCGTACGGCATAGTCGTTTAAAGGTTAGAGAAGATTTTACACCTACAAAATACTGACATTTTTGTAGTCTGCTAAAATGTTAGTTACGGTGTACACGTTGGTTATAATAATGTGGCAGAAACTAAATGGGGATACCAATGCAAACATTTGAAAAAGGAAGTTAAGGAAATTTTATTGGAATCCTCAGACTATTTTATCGAAGGTGCGGATTATTGTGAAGATTATCATCCTTCTAAGAGATGTCAAATAAAGAAGAAAAAATTAAATAAAAAACTACCTGATAGAAATATGAACCCAATGATGTGCTGGATATACCTATGGTACAATCCCAGGAAACAAGATTACTTCTAGAACTAAAAGAAAAAATGGCAAATTTATAATATAAATATTTTAGACATATCTGAAACAAATAAATTCGGAACAGTAAAGATGACGATTAAGTACTTCTACTGAGCAATACAGGAGGTGAAAAGAACGACTAATATGTAATACTAAACAAAAGAGTATGAATTTCGAAACCATGAGGTCAAAATGCTACCAATTGAATTGAAACTTCAACAAATATTATTCTTTATCCAAATCTGCATTTCAAAAGAAAGCACTGCAGATGATTTTTTGGAAAAATTTTACAACTTTTAAAAAAAATTACAAAACAAACTGAAAAAAAAAAACAAAAACTACTGAGTTTTTTTTGGCAAATTGGCTTTGGCTTGAAACCTTTAGCCACGTAATTACATATAAATATTAGTATTTATTCATACAGGATTGTACAAGGAGGACACTTTTCACGCTCGGGGATTCATTAGAGCGGGTTTATTGTAACAAACAAGACATAAAACCACGGTTAGGTAGGTGGGCAACATATATGGTAAACATACAAAGGAAATGTTCAAGCATACCATCAATTTTACACTCATACATACCGTTAATTTAATTTTTACAAGAAATATCATAATAATTTTAAAGATTTTTATATTGTCTTCACTTAATAGAAGATTTACGTTTAATGGTGAGGTCACCTCGACATTTCCGTTAAGTTAGACCGTGAGCCATTCTGTCTCCGGCTCTTATAGACAATGTAGCTCCGCCTATTTTCCAAATTTTAAAGTGTTTGTTCGTCCTTGTGTAGTGTATTGTAATGTTCCATTTTATGTTTATGACATTTTACTCTTATTGGATAGGCCGCAATTGACGAAATGCCCCTGAAGATGATCTAGTGATCGTAAGTACTTGGGCAAGATTAAATTAATACTGTGCTCGTTATGTATTTGCCTTTTACATTATCAAAAAGTTTATTTATTCGAGCATTCAACCTTATATCAATAATGTTATTGGTCTACATGATTCCGGATTATCTTTGTCTTTTCCCGGTTTTAGAATTAATATAACAAAGCAATCGTTAAATTTGTAAGGAGGTATTCCAGTTTGCAAAATACAGTTATAAATATGTAGTAGTACTCCTATAACCAGTACACCCATTTCTTGTAACATAATATAAGAAATCTGATCTGGACCTGGAGCTGTATTTTTGGATATCTTGATAGCATATTCTAGTTAAGATGATGTTATTTCTTTTAATAAATAATGTTCTTCTGGATGTAAAGCCATGTAAGGTATATATTTGTCAACAAATGGTGGACATAACTTATGAAGAATATCTTCTGCAACTGCGAAAGGAGCATGTTTGATGTTTGCGTTGTTGTTGTTTAATTTGTTAGCCATCTTCCATATTTGAGTTGATGGGCAACTAGAGTTAAGACTGAAGCAAAATTTAATCCATGTTGTTTTGGCTTTGTGCTTAAACATTTTTTTAGCTGCTAACTTCTGAGTTAAAAAAGGAATAAATCTAAGTTTATTCAAAAGAATAAACTAAGAATTTACAAATCAAACAGCAATACCTTCGCCACAACAAGATCCAGTTTCCTATCTCTCTAATTCAAAAAACATTGCTGATACCTTCTTTTTAAGACCAGTTGATAAGACGGAACTCATTTCAACGATTCGTAGTATAAAAAGCGCATCGTCCTGTAGTACAGATGGATTATCTATTAAAATTTTCTCAAATCTACCGCATAATGTTTTGGAGGTCATGGTCTCGGTAGTAAATGATTCCCTTAAAAAAGGTACATTCCCTAACTGCCTAAAGACTGCCATCGCCATTCCTCTTCATAAAGGTGGAGAAAAATCTGATGCCTGCAAGTATAGACCTATTGCCTTGTTACCAGCACTATCAAAAATTATTGAAAGACTTATAAAAGTTCGACTTATGCCCTTTCTCCTTAAATATAATATTTTATCGCAAAATCAGTTCGGCTTTTTGTCTAATAAGTGCACTAGTGATGCCATATTTTCTGTGTTACATGATGTATATCTATCACTAAACAGTAACCTCTCCTCCGCCACCGTTTTCTGCGACTATTCCAAAGCCTTTGACTACGTAAATCACGACATTCTATTAAAAAAATTAACTTTCTACGGAATTCGGGGTGTGTCTTTGAACTGGTTCAAAACTTACTTGGTAGGTAGGAATACCTACCTAGGAATTCTAACAATTGGTTAGAATAAATGACACCGACTCTAGTTGTAAAGATATTGAGTGTGGAGTACCGCAAGGTTCAGTATTAGGTCCCATTCTTTTTTTACTTTTCATTAATGACATCACTTACTTGAAAATTAAAGGGAAAATTTTTCTATTTGCTGATGATACCAGTATTACTTGGAGCAGCTCTGATATTTCAACGCTTCATTCAATTATAACCGCTGATTTACTTATAATCAAGGCTTGGTCAGACTCCAACTTACTTAGCTTTAACGTGGATAAGACTGTAGCATTATCTTATAAAGGAGTCATGCAACCCTTGCTTTTGGAGCCAAATCAATATCGTAAATTCCGTGAAATTTCTAGGTATTCTCATTGACAGTGATCTCAAATGTTCCTTGCATACTGACTCCTTAAGGAAGAAACTAGCCTCAGCTTGCTTTGCAATAAGATCTGTTTCGAAGGAACTAAATTTATCTTCTGCCAAAATGGCATATTTCTCATTGTTCGAGACCCATCTTCGATATGGGCTTCCATTTTGGGGTTCTAGTACAGCGGCCCAATTTGATACTATTTTTGAGTTGCAAAAAAGAGCAATCCGTTATCTATTTGGTCTCAAACAAACAACTTATTGCAAGACCTACTTCAAAAATCACGGAATTTTGACGCTTCCCTCTTTATTTATTTTGGAAACGGTATGTTTGATTCGAAAGCATCTAAACATTTTTCCCGATAGACCTGACCATGGCTACTCCATTAGAAATTCGGATTGTAACGTTTATTTGCCGATCCCGTCCACTCAGCTAGTAAAGAATTCTATTCTATATCGTGCAAAGAAACTTTATAATCACCTTCCAAGAGAAATTAAATCCGCAACATCCTTCATTAAGTTTCGTAAGGTGACAAAAATCTATCTCTCAGAAAGACCATATTATTCAGTTGACAAGTTTCTTAATGTATAACAAAGAAACAAAATTAGTATTGTTTATAATTACATTTGGGTGTCTTAAGCAGTGGCTACAATTTGTCTTATTTGTTGTTGTCTGTACAAATTATGTAGGTTATACAATAATTTTACTAATTTAAAATTGTGTTATTCTGTGTTTTACTATATTTGTTTTTGTTTTTTACTTTTTGTACTATTTGACTGATTTATTTTTTAGCTTTGTCCATAAACTTGTTCAATAATTTTCAGTGACAATAAAGCATATTTCTATTCTATTCTACCTACAATAAAATACGCTAGTGATTTATGAATTTATGTTGGAAAGTAAAATTTGAAAAGGATCGTAAAGTATAAGGAAAGTGGATTAGCAACTTTTAAAAACCAATTGAAGGCTATGTGAAGACGAAGAACATAACGTGTTGTGTATAACAAATAATGTGTGTTTTTTTTTTATTTTCAGTTAAAACCACCAGATGCAACGGAAATCAGTTCATTTAATCTAAATGATAGTGTCATTGACCATATACACGATATTCTTAAAGACTTAGGAGCTACTAGTGTAGATATTAAAGCAGATTTAAGAGTTGCGGTAAATTTTGTGGAAAGACTGAAAGAGGTAAGCTCTATCTTTAACTTAGCGACTCCTTTCCCCCTTTATGTGAATATCTGCGTACCTTTTTCAATCCTTTGTTAATTTGCTATCAGTAAATTAAGGTAACTTTAAGTTTTGGTTTACTCTAATTCTGTTCTTCACCTTATTGGGTATTAGGCAACTAAAAATATATCTTATATAATTGAGGACCAAAGATATTCTTGGGCATAGCAAATACTGTGCACCATTAATGTCTTTTCTTATAATTTTTTGAAGAATTAAAGGCATTTTTCGTCACTTTAATGTAATCAGCAAGAGGTGCAGGTTTTTAATATATTTATATCTTTTACTTTCTTATTCTTGTAAGAATTTACATAAACTATCAGTTTTCTGTAGTTCTTTTAAATTTTATTGAATCTTCTTTATTTCCAATATGTTCTTGCTTTACTATTATTGTTTTATCGTTGTCATTATATTTTGTGCTACTATCACGACAATTTATTTTGTTTTCAATTCAATTTCAAAGCAAATACAAAAAATACACTAGAAACTGTACCAGATCTTATTTCATAGCTTTTTTTGTGTCTTTTCGTACCAATAAACTCTATCTCGTTTTGCAGATTGCTACAGAGCACAACAACAAAACCTTGGCTTACAACAGCGACGAGAGAAGGAATATAACGTTGCGCAATCTTAAGCACAATTTAATTAAAATTGATTGGCTGGAGTTTCTACGAAAATACACTGAAGTTGACTTAAAACCTACTGACCAAGTGGTATTTGATCTAGATGGATATCTGACTAGTCTTTACTATTTGTTTCATCGTACACCCAAAAGGTATATGTGCAACTAGGAAAAAACAACATATAAACACAACATATACATACAAGACGTACATAAAATGATCAACAACAGACATTTGTTATATATTACCATGCTATATGCTACCAAACAACGCACAAGCCTGTCCAATCTCGTATGTACTGCTTATATCCTGATCCTCGTCTATCATTGATCTTACCTTCTATTATGAGCTTGAAGTAAGTGATATATCTCGTGTCTTATTACTTAACCAAGAAAATTTCCCAGTTAGGGGTAAGGCGAGCCCAAGGTATTCGAAATATTCTTTGATTTACCCACATTTCAAATGCCTCAAGTCTATTCAGGCTACTAATTTTTAACATCCACGATTTAGCAATGTACAAAAGTGTGGAATACATGCTTACTTCCAAATTGTTTCGTATTTATATATCGAAGGATTTATCTCGCAAGAATCTACATATTTTTAAAAAGTTTGATATGCCAATTTCAATCTGAGCTCTGATTTTTTTTTAAGTCGGGATTAAAATTTGTTTTTGAACTTGAAAACTTTATTTCTATATAGATTTAACAGCAATATCTCTGCCACTGTTTTTTTGGTGTTAATTTTTAAGTCCAATAGCTTAATGCTTACGCATTTAGCTTATATTTTGTTAAGTAGCCGCTATGAAAGCTCTCCAAACTGTATGTCATCTTCTGCGCCTTCAATTGCGTTTTGGAGTAACAACCTTCTCTCTCTCTCTCTCTCTCTCTCTCTCTCTCTCTCTCTCTCTCTTCTTGGCGCTACAGCTAATCTCCCAGCATCCGTTTCCAGGCATCTTTTTCCTTGGCTGCTCTTTTCTAGAACAGGTACGATGGAAAAACTGATAGTCGAGGGTAGCCGAGGTAGTAGTAGTGATAGTATTATATAGTGATTAAGTTTTACAATAATAATTTTTTTAATTTATTAAGGGTTCAAGCAAACTACATAGCATGGATCTTGCTCTCCACTAACATTAATTATTTATCGAAAAAAATACGTGACAAGTATGAGCAAATTACAAAATTGCTGGAGGAGGAAAAGACGGCTGAAACACGGGATGAATTATGTTACAAGATCAGTAAGAGCTTGTAAGTATTTTTATATTTATTATTACGTATGATTTGTTCAGAAATGTTACCGTTACCGACGTTATCAGCCAATTTTTATAGATATCTTTATAATTTTTCAAATGCGAAAAACTATATTGTAATGTTTGAACATTACAATCTAGTTTCTACTTTATATTTAAATAATTTGTTTTGGGATAACTTATCCATTGAACCTACTTTTGACCTTCAGCTAATATTCAAAATATATTATTCATTATGGTGCTTATGATATAATTCTGAATGACCAGCTTGAGACAAACAGTTCTCCACTCTTCAACCTATTTCATTAGAGACTATAAAGTGTAAACACAAGCCAAAAATAGATCACTTGAGAAAGGCAATCAGCCGAAGCAACTGTAGTGATAAGAGTTAAAATAAATTTTGTGGAAATTTGAAAACAAAATTTTCAGTGTTTTATTGTTACATATCTTTACATCATTAAATCTACATTCATATCAAAGGTAATTTTTTTTAAATTTCACCACTGTTGTATTTTCTATAAAACTTACCTTTTGTTTCTCTCAAAAACCCGATTTTAATTGTTTGTTCAATGTAGAGGGATTGATAGAGGATCAAATAATAATGCCTATTTATATTGACCAATCGTTTGTTAAATAAATTCAACCATGATCTCAGCTTTGGTGGTCCATTAGTCGAATGTAGATTTAATGTACTTAATGATCGTTTAGCATTCAAATCTATGTGGCATCTATTCTGCTGTAACTGTAAAAACTTGATTTTTATTTTTATTTGATAAGTAATGTGTGATTTTTCACATTATATATGATGCAGATTGTCCAGTGTCACGATAAATAATCGGATTTAGTGTAATATATTATTAATAAATTAAACTGATATCGACAACTAACAAGTGTAAGATTCCAGCACTAGACAAATTGATAGAAATCAAATTTATGTTATATCCATGTAACGTATAAACATATAAACTTATGTATATTTTCATTAAAATGGAGAATCTATGAAATGGCATACCAATGACACAGTCAGAGTCAAAACGAACAAAAAAAACTTTCTTACGACACCTAAAGCTTTTTGAATTTTTTTTTTGGAAACACATATAAGAAATAAAAATATATATTTTAAAAAGTAAATATATTTATTGTACACAAAAAATTTAACATTCGCAAAATTCCGTGTTTAAACATATTAAATTAACAAATAAAAAAAGTTCATTGTTTTTTTGTCTTATAGAAACACTTAACACAACAAAGGATTACCTCAGGGCTCCGTTTTGAGTCCTATTTTGTTTAACATTTACACATCAGATCTACACAACATCACTATTACTAATATTGCATTTAATATTGTACAATATGCTGACGATTTCCGTTTGTATACAGAATACAAAAAATATCAGCAATCCATTGAAAACCCGAATGAAGTGTACGGATTCCATCACAAATGGTTTATAGAAAATGGTTTCGAATTATCCTGCAGTAAATCACAAGTTTGTTTATTTACCAGACATAACTTTCCTAGTGCCAGTACAATCAATTTAGGTGGGCACCACTTTTCCCTTAAAAACACAATTAAATATCTGGGAATGATATTCGACCAGAAATTGACCTGGAAGTTACATATTGATGACATGTTGAACAGATGCAATAAGGGATTAAACTTTCTTAAATCAATTAATAAAACTTGGTGGGGATCGGATGTTGAAGTAAGTTTATTATTTTACAAAGCTTACATACGATCTATTTTGGATTACGGAAGTGTTTTATATGGATCAGCAAGTAATGTACTACTAAACAAAATCAACGTTTTACAGAACTCAGCCTTACGAATATGTTTAGGAGCCATGAGATCCACGCCAGTACAAGTTTTATATTTGGAAGCCTTGCAACCTCCTTTAAATATAAGACGAAGGTTTTTGTCCAAAAAATATTTAATGAAAGTATACTTACTGAACTCATCTCTTTACGAAAAGATAGTCACTTTGAATTGCCATGATCTGACAAATAAATAATGACAAAAAAAGAAATCTCCCTTACTTTTCGAAGCGTCATCAAAATATAGCACTTTTAAAAAATATAGATAGAACGACCTACACATTCAAAAATTACTCTTCTTTCTTTTTACATACAGATATTATTATACTAAATTATAGTAAACATATATATTTAAATAAAAATATTGTTCTATCTATAACAAGCAAATAAATATACAGATGCGTCTAAATCTCCAGATGGAACCGGATGCGCTTTTTTATACTATTGGAACATATAGAAAAGAAATTCAAACTAAACCCAGAAACTTCGATTTATACAGCAGAGGCCATTGCAATATATGAAGCTTTATTATATGCAGCTGAAGTTGATTTTGCCCATATTATAATTTTGTCGGACTCCTTGGCAGTGTTAAAATCCATTGGTAAATATGGACCACCAAACTTACAAGACTGTCCATACATTTATAGAATTAAACATATTATTCAAACTCTTTTAACCAAAGGAATCAATGTACATTGTCTCTGGATTAAAGCACAATTCAGGATTTGAACATAATGAATATGTCGACTTATTAGCCAAAAAAAGCATTTTAACCGATACTGGTATTTTACATAAAGTAACTTCTTCCTCTCCGTTACCTAGTGTTGTTATGTCTTATATGAATCAATGCTTTGATAGGTCCCTAGGCGAGAAGAGTGTGTCCCTGTTCTCCTAATATTGATGTAATTTTCTATCTTGATAGGGCATTTAGGTAAATAATTATAATGATGACTGTCTTAGTTCTTTTGTGTCTGGCTGTATGACGATAGTATAAGCCAAAAAAAAAAAGAAACACTTGCCCAGTACCGGACACAATAAAAACACTTTAATCACATTGGTAGTATACTGTAATACTTTGCTTAAAATATTTTCTGAATTTGTATATATTTTTGAATATTATTTGCGTACAAATGTTCACGTTGCGCAATTTTCACACTTACAAACAAGGTTTTCTTGATCCGTGCAGGCCAATGTGCACCCACCCCTTACATGTAGTGCTGTACACAATCTTCATTTGTAGTTTCTCTGCAAATAATATCGGTAGTTTCTTCTTCTCTAGTGTTTATTTCTAAAGATCCACTACTTGCCATCGTTGACGTCAAAAGTTGTCTACTCAAATCAAGACTCTTCTTTTGTTTTTTTTTTCTATGTTCAAGCTTCCTCCTTTTTCTCTGCTGCTTTTTTTTTAACTTCTCTTGTGATTCCTTAAATCTTGTCTTTAACACAGTTTTATAAAGAGATCCAGTCAAAATCTCACTCTTTTCAGTTCATCTCATTCTTTGAATAATTTTCTTCCTAGTCTGGTTTCTTACAAATGAAACTTTGTCCGTCACAATTTGAAGAAAGAAAGTCTTGGGGTTCTGAAGTTCATCGCAGCATTTTGAAGTGCTGGCAGTAGCTAAACGTAGAGCTGTCACAGTTGCAAAAGATGAGCAGGGCGGAAAAACTGTAACTGTGAAATGCGATTTTAGTGGTTTTTCAGAAAAGGTAGATAAAGCTCCATTAAAGTTGTCTGTTACAGCCGATAGTGGACCAGATAAAGGCGTTGTTGTGAAGGGGTATCACTATGGGTTTCATTGTCTTTAGAAAAGTGAGTTGCAGCAAGATAGTATAGGTCTGTAAAAATGGCCTTCTGCAATGGTTACAAACCAGCACAGACTATGCAAGTTCCATCCTACAAATAGCCTCTTTGGGTTATTTTAAGCGAGCGATATCGGTTGATTGGTTCATTTACTTTGCATAAGCTTCAATGTACACAGCTTTGAAGGGTCTCATTATTGCTCGGTCAAGGGGCTGAAGTTTGTGGGTGATGTGAGGGGGTAGACTTATAATATGAACATTGTGGTCTCTTGCTTATATAATTACTTGTAGTAGTTTCTTGTGAGAACTGTCGTCATCAAGTATCAATAGAGCTGGAGTTTTCCTATTGGGATTCACACGAGCACAAATATTTTTAGCCAAAGCAAAAATGAATTGGCAGTGATCCACCTATTTATTCACATGCAAATACTTACCTCCGTAGCATTCGTCTTAAGCTCTTCTACCATTTTAACATTTCTTTTTCTTCTTGTAGTGCCTATCCGTTTCGCATGTTGGCGGCCATCACGGCAATCTGTAGTTTACAAACTTCAGCTCTGAAAGAATTGTGGTTGTGTGTTGAACCACGTACGTATATTTTTCAGCCAGGAAATCCTTCGCCTTCCTGGTCCTCGTTTTGCTTCTCACATTTCTTGTTTTACCCCTATCAAATATAAATAATGGATGTAAAAATACATCATCTGTGGCGTTGATAGATAGTAGCCCAGTTACATTTCTGCCTCTCTTCCGAAGTGATCTTACTAATCTGCTTTTTTTCTTTCTATGACAGAACCATTGAGGCATGAAATAAGAAAGCATTGTAATTTGTTCTGTGATTGAGGCATAATCATGGACCGCAGAAACTTCTGTCCAATCACAGTTAAACACCTTTGAGGGAGTAAAGTTAAATTTTGAAAGCAGTGCTTTATATTTGTTGAAGAAGCTGCACTTATGGACTATACAAACAAATTGTATCGATTGTTTTTTTATACCTAAATTGTATATTTAAACGTATATAACTTTGTCAAAAATTGATAAAATTTAATTCTTCCAGACTCATTTTAAAGCATATCATCATAGCTTTAGACTGAGATGCTTCAATTTTTTTTAATTAAATATCTCTGCTTCTAATAAACTAATTTTAATATTTCAAAGTTTGTTTGGTTTGTTTTTTTACGACACTAAACGTAATTTGATACAGGCAATATATGTATTAGTTTATTAGTAATTCGTCAAGGGCGTAACGTTGGCGATCATACTGGCTATGACGACTTTGTTGATTGTTATACGAAATAGCTTTGTTAAGGTCTTTTTATACTATGCTCTCAGGTTAGCAAGCCAGGATATTCTTCTTCGTCCTGAGGCCCCTTTTCCTTCAATTTTACCTTGCAAAATGCATTGAAGAAGCTCGTATCTGCCTTGATTTCCCATTATGTTGTTCATCCTCCGCAGTACTTCTTCATTGGTGACTTTGTCTGTCCATGGTATCTTTAGAATCCTTCTGTATAACCATAGCTCAACAACTTGAAGTTTTAATAGAGTTTCCACCTTCAATGTCCAGGTTTCTACTCCGTACAGAAGCACTGAGAACACATAATATTTGAGGAGTCTTATTTTTGTTTCTAGGGTGAGGTCTTGACTCTTAAATACAGAGTTCATAGTCAAGAATGATCTAATCTCTTGGGTATTGCGCCACGACTCATTGATTACAATTCCCAAGTAGTTGTATTGTGAGACACGCTCAATTCTCATTTGATTCAAATACAGATTTGCTCCAGTTATGTTTTCCTTGGTGATGATCATTACCTTGGTTTTCCTGGTGTTTATATCCAGTCCATATTTTCTACTTGTTTCCGTTATCTTGTTCACTAAGTTTTGCAGCCGTCCTATGGTATCATCTGCATAACGCAGGTTATTGAGCTTGACTTCATTTATTGAGATGACTTTGTAGCGTTATAACTGCTACATTGCCTGCTTTCTTTCTTATGTTAATATATTTCGTTAATTCTATTCTCCAATTTCCGTATCTTCTGTCATAATTCACATTCTTCTATATCCTCCATTGTATCTCTTATTTTTCTATATATTTTCTCGGATATAGACTGTATCAGAATTATGTCGTTACTTAATTGATTCATTATTCTCTTTTCATTTTTACTGGTATTTGGTATAAAAACCAGTTGGCGTCCAAATCTATCTTCTTTATATATATATATTTTAGTATCTACCTTTCCTATTTTCTTAATAATCATCATTTTATCTTTTACTCAAGTTTCTAAAGAGTGAATTTTATTTTCATCTCTATTTCTGTTACTTTGGAACGAGAGGTCCCATCTTTATTCTTTGTGACATTTCTCCTTCCCGTTCGATACAAAAGTCCATATAATCGCTTTTATTTCGGAAAAGGTCGATTTTCTTCATGACATCTCTAAGAGTAGAATAACCAATTGTTGTGTCGTCTCCAGATTTGGAGTCAACCTCCGGGATACATTTCTCAGGTGCGGGTCAAATTTTATTACCATCCAGAAGACCAACCGGCCTGAGAATGGAACCATTATTCCAATAGGAGAGTTGACTCCGAGACAAGGAAATCCAAAACTACCAACATGGCTTGCTAACAACCAGAGCAGAAAAGACCAGGATAAAGCTTAGGATTTGGTGACAAAAATTGTTCTTTCATATACCTAATGTAACACTGTAGCAAGATTCGAATAATTTTTATTTAAATTCAATACGATATTTAACATTTATTTTTCTGTTTTTTTTATATTGTAATAAACATGTGTTAATTTAACTGTGTATTGTTTCTTCTTTTTACTTGTTTGTGTGTGTTGCTCCAGAGTAGGCCATATTCACGTCCTGAGTGAGCTAGCCAGGGAGTGTTTCGTGTAACGTCTAATGTAGCAATTTTGTAATCGATACATTAGGGGTTATGACGTTAAAAATTGGTCCCAACGGGAAACGATTTGTCACTCCAACGTTGTTAGTGATGTTAGTCAGCTTGTAGCAGCAAACTAAGGTTTGCGGTTACAGGTTGACAAAAACAGCTCAACGTTGGGATGTTACAAATTGAGCCTCGAAGGGTTACAAATTGGCACCCAATGAATATTTGTTGGCACGTCATAGATTGACGTCCAATGAATGTTCGTTGGAACGTTACAACTTCATCAATATCTTTTAGAGCCTTGACCTGATCTGTATATTCTCCATCTCTTCGGAGCACCGTTAATGGATTCCACTACAGGTTATCTATTATTTTTAAGTCTTCTTCATCAATTCCTATCCTCTTAAGCATTTCCATCATTTGTTCATGCCTGACTCTATCGAAAGCCTTCTTGTAGTCGATCAGGCATGCAAAAACATTACAGCTGACATCTCTACATTTCTGAAACAATACCTGCATAAATAAAGCTCCCCTGGTACCAAAGCTGTTCACAAATCCAAACTGATTGGGCCCAATTTGTTCTACGCATTTCTGGTAAATTCTTTTGTGGATCACTTTTTAAAACAATTTCAGCAGATGGCTCATTAGGCTTATGGTCCTATATTCTTCACAAACTTTTGCTCCTGGTTTTTTGGGCAATAGTACAAACTCCGATATGAGCCACTGTACTGGTATTTTTCCTGCCTTGTATATTTCATTAAATATTTCAGTTATTATTTTTATTTGTTCTGCATCTAATAGCTCCAACAGTTTTGCAGAAATTTCATCAAGTCCGGGCCTTTCCATCCTTTATTTGTTTGACGGCTGCCATTATGTCTTCTGATAGTACTTCAAGACCTGAATTTTCTTCAATGGTGGGCTCTTGTATCGTTCTAAGGTCATGGAAAAGTTTCTCCAAGTATTCTTCCCATACTTTCTTTTTATCTTCTTTGGTTATGGCAATGTTGCCTTAATCTATTCTTTTTATTAGTTATAAACATTTAAATAATTGACTTGTTAATAACAAATTCCTGCCCAAAAATTCGGATTATCATAAAGTACATAAAAATCAGTAGTAAAATTTTATGGAAAGCAATCGTCCACAAAACCCGCCTTTGCCCCTAGACTAATGACTGAAGTTCGCAATAAATTGAGAGACATAACAATTTTTGTTGACAAACTAAAACGATTTAAGTATTGAAAATATTAAACCAACTTTTCTTTATTTTACAGGTTAGCTAATTTTTTTTAGACTTTATTCATGAATTTTTTGAAAACGATTTTGAAATTATCCCTCAAAAAGTCAAAAATTAAAAACGTAAAAATTAACCTAAAAGTAAAAAATTAAAAATTTTTGTAGAATGATATTAAGAAGTCTACATTTTTTAAAACTTTACTATAAAATCTTTATACAGGTTTAGAAATACCGCCGATGCAGAATACGTCCGAAGATACACACCACCACAGAAGAAAAAACAAATACAAACCATGATTGACTATGTAAAATCCGCCATGGAGGAATATATAGATCGATCTGAATGGATGGACGACAAAAGCCGAGAAAACGCAATAAAGCGTTTACAAAATATTACCGCAGCTATTGGTTGGCTTGATGAAGCGTTTAATGTTACTAAAATAGAAGAATTGACAGGGTTTGATAAGGTAAGAAACTCAAAGGGTCCAAAACTGTATTTTTCGACAACTAAATTCACGCTCCATTTCCAAAAAATCATCAACAGACTTTTCAATTTATGATATCCCTAGATATTATCACCAAATTGTGTGTAGAAACTGTTGTTTTTAATAAAATTGCATGCGAAGTAATTACTAAAATATCTGTGAAATTGAGTCAATGAAAAAATATAATTTCTGGTACATGATCATTACTGTAATAACCGTATTTGCGGTTTTTGTTATACTCTAAAGAAGTAACTTTGTGTTTTAGGTTAAACATCTTCCAAACGAAAATGTAACTGCCATTGATCTAGCACGAATGGCTCTGAAGGTGACTTTGGATAGGGTGTTTCGTAATATTAACACGAAAGATGCCCTCATTCATTTTCGAGGACCAGAGATGTCAGTCAATGCGTATTATTTACGTTTATTTAACATTTTAAGTAAGTATTAGATTTTTGAATATTTTAATGGTTAAAAAAGAGAAGTATTACATCTTCAACCGATATTTTCTTGTAAAATAATCCGTTGCAACGAATTATTGAAGGACTCGAGAGAATTGTTAAATATAAAACAAAAAGGAACAAATGTATCAAGTTTTAAGGTTAAAAAAAAGAGAAGGCATAACAATATGAGAAGAAGAAGGACACAATAGGAATATTTCTTGTTCTAAGAGCAATCTAGATTCCAACTTTTAAGTAAGGGTTATGAAGAGAAGAATGCCCAAAGCTCCATTGACCTTAAATTCAAAAGAGATATTAATTATATGAAGACGAACTAATTTACCATATTACTACACTTATTAGTGACTTTTCCAGGATAGAGAAAAATATACGAACATGAGAAAAAATATCTACTGACTCACATTCAACAGGATTCTTCGTTACATGGAAGGTAACTCCCAAGTTTCACTAAAAATTATAAAATATCAAGAGCTTTAAGTATATATATATATATATATATATATATATATATATATATATATATATATATATATATTGAAATGATTTCAATATGTTAAAAAATATACAACTTAAATGGATTTTTATATGAGTTTGTTGTTTATGAATTTCATGAAGCCATCATAATGTGGGTTCGACTCTGAAATAAAAGAGAGAAAAAGATTAGTAAATTGTTAAATAACTTAATTTTGACTTACCTGGTATAGTGTTAATAATTTCTGAATAGTATAGTTGCCTAGTGTATAAGTGAATCGTCTAAACCTTAAAAAGAACAAAAAAGAAGAATTTTAAAAAAATATTTAAATATAGAAATTTTAATAAACGTCAGAAGATAAACTGCTTGACAGTTTATTTGACAGTCTGTGGGAGCTAAATTAATAGGAGTTTTGTTAAATAAGAAATTACAATGATGTGGAGATGAAAAGAATAAATTAGTATTGTAATAGAATAAGTTTTATATCTAAACATTTTTTTTATAAATTCCCAAATTAGATGTGATTAAAGTGATTATGAGAAAGTAATGTGGCTTGACAAATATGTCAAACAGGACAGTTTTATGGTTTAAAATATTTAAATAGAAGACAGAAAAAAAGAACGTTGGTTGCTGTTAGCAACGGATAATAAGAGGAATTGGTTTTTTTGGAAAAGACGCCGACGAGAATTTTTGGAGAGGAGCCCCGAAAACTGTGGATAGTCCGAGAGTGTTTTCAAATCGTTTAATCAAAATATAGTTTTTCCACAGCAGAGATACTCAGAATTTGTTTCAGTGAGTAAGAGAAACCATTTGACTTATAAATTATTATTGAAGTATAGAAATGTCATTTAAATTGAGAAAATTAAAATTCATGAATTAACATAATTGCGATAGGCCTTAAAAATTGAAAATATTAATGATCATTAAATTAAAAATAGAATAGTACGTACCTTAACTTCCGAAGAGAGGATTGATATTCCATTTTTCACCGATTATTTTTGAGTAGTTAGTTTAATTTAAAGAAATCAGAACTGTTTTAAAGTAAGGTTGGACAATAATTTTGGGGATCATTTGAAATTTTGATTATATTTGAGTGCAAGTCAGCGGAGTAAAGTGTTCATTTTCTTTTTCTTTATAGTTCATTTAAACACTTTATAAAGTTGCAATATTTATTTAGTTTTTAGGTACTTGTAGAGAGTCTCCACATTTTGTAATACATTTTTATTGTCACGTCACTAAACCACGTTAAGATTTAAGCGATTCCTATTTTTGTAAATTTTTAAAGGCAACCCAAGTTGCAGACGAATTTTATTGTTTATATTAAATTTGTTCAATATTAATAAATAACGTGCTTCATTTGGGTTAATTTATCAAAAGTCTAAAGTAAATTTTGGTTTAATTTCTTTTTGAACTCTACCAGGAGACTACAGAGTCGACGTCACACAGTGACAGGTTGCTTAGAACATATAATTGAGCTAGCTGAGGTATATATTAAATTAAACAACGAACCACATATTTTAAAAATTACATTTATTATAAACAAAAAATAAAATTAATAAAATACAACTTTATCAATATACCTGCCCCTCTCACATTTCGACCGCCATCGTTTTCTGTACATCCATTCGTCTTCTTTGATGGCTCTATCTCTCATTATGTGCCATACATTTCCTTCCCAGGCAATTAAAGGCAACAGTTTTTTTTAAGGTGTCGTATAGTATGTTTTCTCTAAATCTACAAACAATAGGTGGGTAGATAGATTCCTTGTTTTCCGTTTTTAATTACTTGCTGCAGAACGAATATACCATCAGTGCACGATCTTCCTGCACGAAATCCATTTTGTTCTTCTATGTCTTCGTATTCTGTTTCTATTCTTTCTTTTATTATTCGACCGTACAATCTCCCCACTGAGCTGATAACAGCTATTCCCCTATAATTAGAGCATTTGCGTTTATCCTCTATTTTGAACATCGAGCTGATATATCCAACATTCCAATCATCAGGGATATCTCGTCCTTTTAAGCATTTGTTAAATAGTTGAACCAACATCTCATTTAATAGTTTTGGCCCATACTTACCAACTCAATTACGATGTCTCCAGGTCCTGTTGCTTTGCCGTTTTTCAATTTTTTGAGGGCATCGCTTAACTCTCCGGTTGTTATCTCAATTATTTGTGTACGTTCGGATATTTCTTTCATTTAAATCTCTTGGAATTTACATCTATCCTCTGTCTGTAAGACCTCATAATCGTATTTCCACTATTTTAGATATATTAACTGTAAGTTAGATTTTTTCCTTTTCTTCCCTCTGGAGAGACTTTATCATCTTCCACGCTTGCCCAACTCTTGTTACACTCATATACTTATCCACGTCTGCACTTCTTCGATCCCAAATCTCATTTTTACTTTTCACTACTTCCCTTTTTACATCTCGATTTAATTTTTTATATATCTTGTAACCTTCCTCCTTTCTCGTTGACATCCATTTCTGATAAGCAGTTTTCTTTTTGTTTACCAAAAGCTTTATGTAAATGAAAATAAAAAACTGGTTTAAAATAAGATTAAATAAATCAAATGAAATTAACAAAATCCACAAGGAAAAATTCCTGTAGCTGGCTGTATACCACGTATCACAAAAAAGAGGTTAGTCTTCGTAAATGGGCATATTTATTTAAAAAACCCTTAAAAAGGCTACATCAATAAAACAAACGTTTTCGGACCACACAGTCCATCATCAGGTTTTAAAATCGAAGCATTGTGATCTAGCATTTTTTTTCGATTTTAAAACCTGATGATGGACTGTGTGGTCCGAAAACGTTTGTTTTATTGATGTAGCCCTTTTAAGGGTTTTTTAAATAAATATACCCATTTACGAAGACTAACCTCTTTTTTTTTTCAAATGAAATTAAGTCGAGTTACGTAAAATTTACTATAAGTGGAAAAACTAGTCCCCTGGTTTATTAAATAATAGTAGTAAAAAACAAATTAAGACTTCTTCTTTACAGATATCTTCCTAAGAGAGACGTAGGAGAGTTGAGCCCTAAAAATTATACAAACAAGCTGAATTTTGCCGAGAATATTAATTTTGAGACTCCAAAAAAGATGCATTTATTTTATCTCTGGAGATAAAACTCCCTCGTAGGAGGTAAAAACGCAAAAAAGATCGATTTACCAAGAATTTTTACGCCACAGAAAAAAATGTTTCAAATAAAAAATGTAGCTGAGATAATTTTAAACAAAAATGTTACACGGTTCATTCTACAAAAAAAGTGCTAACATTTATTAGCACTTTTTGTATAGAATGAACAGTTCTTTCACAAACAACGCTTGAAGCGACAGTCGATTTTAATGTGTTACTCCTGCAAAATCAATGTTGAATAAAATTTGTATCATTCGACGGTAAAAATTTGATATCTTTTGATCCAAGTTTCCTATCAACAAAAATCAAGATACGTTTTAAAGATAACAAATGCAGCTTTCGTACATATTTTCCGTAAATTGCCGAAAATAAACTGAGTTTTTATAAAGGTGTTAAATACATAAACGTGGCCTAACAAGACAATTTCCACACAGTCCAAGTATGGAGTTCAATAGCGGAGACCCACTGACAGAAACTTGAAGCCACTGAAACATCATGTTACCGGATCATCGAAGAAACATCATGGGAAGAAAGGATAACTAACGCAACCATCGAAGAAAGGCTCCAGTATACACCACTGAGGGAGGTAGCCGAGAAAAGGACCAGGTACTTCTTCCACCAGGCTACAAGAAGACTCCATAAGACCAGGGACATCCTCGAGAAAAACAGGATCCAGAGGATGCACAGACAAACCCATCAACTGATCGTCCATCTGATCAGGGTCTAGCCGGATGGTTGCCGGAAAACAGCCATGCAGGGAAGTAGGTACGATGCCAGAAAATAGTACCTACCGAAGAAGACGAGGAAACCACCCAGAGAAGTCCAGGATGCCGAGAGGGAGATAAACCAGAAGAAGATGTTGTAAGAGTGGAACGTTTAAAAGAAAGAAGGCTAAAATTTATAAGTTATGAAATGTCAGATATTATTAGGGCAATAAATGTTTTTATTTTTATTTTTTTTATTTTTATTATAATTTCCACACGTCTCTTTTTCATGATTCAAAAACAACATAACGTCAAATGTTTTAACAACAAACGTCTAACCAAAGCAGGATTTTGATTAATGATTTATTGTAGTCACCAATACAGACTACATAATATAGATTTTGATTAATTACCGCTGAAGTTTAAGCCACCGGTGTAGAATAACATATATATATTTCATTTATTTTCAGTTCTACCAGCATCGATCCTTCAAGACAATATTTTCGACGGCAATCGTCCAACTTACATGAATTTCGGTGCTTTAGGCACAATCATCGGCCACGAGATCACCCACGGATTCAGTCTTTATTATAATTTAGAAGGATACGAAGAAGAAGATTTATGGACCAATGCTACCATCGAAAAACGAACTGAAATAACACAGTGCGTCGATGACGAGTATAATATTTTCGAAATAGCACACGGGAAAAATAAGGTGAGTTAAATAGAAGTTTTTTTGATAATTAATATATAGATCAATGTGCAGCTCTTTTTAACTTAACTTCATCATCAGCCAGCCTTCATTTATCACGTCCACTGCTGGACATAGATCTCCCTTAAACTCCTCCATTCTTTATGATTTTGTGCTCTTTGTTGCCAATTTTTGGTCAGCCCAACGTGTAGATAGTCTTTCTCTACTACGTTTTTCTGCTTTTGGCCTCCAATTTGTAATCATGCTCGTTCATCGTGGGTCGTGCATTCTCGCTACATGGCCTAACCAGTTCCATTTCAGTCCTGCTATGCGTTCCTTAACATCCGAAATACTCGTCCTTCTTCGCAGATCTTAGTTTTTTATTCGCTTCCGCAAAGTCACTCCCAGCGTGGACTATTTCATTCGTCTCTCCATTTCGAACTAAAACTCCATTTTGAATGCTTTATGAAAATCTAATGAAAGTGAGGAGAAGAGATCTGTTGTCTTCTATAGATTTTTCATCATTGGTACCATAACTTGAATAGAATCCTGCCTACTCTGTCTCATTTGATATTTTAAACTATATTTGCAACTATTAATATTTTTATCGAGTGTAGCCTGCTTACAGTATTAACATAACACTTTTTTACGTGTCCACTAAGTCGCAATATAGCTCCATTTAACCCTCTCACTATTTTTGATTTTACTAACTTCAAGAGTTTTCCTCTTTTCTCTCTTCATTCTAGATCCACATTGGCTAGAGGATGGATTATCCTAAAATTTATATATTAAAACAGGCATTACTATGTGTCCTAGCACACCTGGTTGTTATCTCTTTGACCTTATTTATTATTTTAGGTCCCAATGGACGGCATCACACTGTTTCTTAGCATTTATATTAGATAGTTTAAAATTTCTTAAAAATTTCAGTCTTCATTTGGTCTGTACATCGTGTTGGATTTGTGGCTCTTGGTCTTCGGGCTTCTAAATTTCCTTCTACCAATATTAATACAATTGTACTTTAGGTATGGTCAGTTTTTTTTAATAGCCTGGTTTTTGATGCTTAGTCATCTACGATTCGCAGATGATATTGCTCTGATTTCAGACGACCTAAAGGCTGTTAGTGATATGTTGATTGAACTCAGCGATGCAGCACGTAAAGTAGATCTAAATATTAACTACCAAAAGACAAAAATGATGACTAATTTAGTTCCGAGCCATCATTTAAGGGTAGAAGACGTCGAAATTGGAATTGTTGACAGCTACATATACCTTGGACATACGGTAAAAATTAGCGCAAAGATAATCAAATTGCTGAGCTGCTTAGAAGAATAACACTGTGATGGGTAGCATATGGAAGACTGCGTGATATTTTTAAAGGTGATATACCTATCAGCTTAAAAAGAAGAGCCTTTACTCAGTGTGTCCTGCCTGTCCTTACATATGGCGCAGAGACACTTACCCTAACAAGGACATCTACACGAAAACTACAAGTGACGCAACGTAGAATGGAAAGATCATTGTTAGGCATAACGTTGCGAGATAGGGTAAAAAACGAAGAAATCCGTAGAAAAAGTGGTGTAGAAGACATATATCTAGGTCATGTTATCAAACTAGGAAAACCAAATCAAGATACTGAAATTAAAAGAAGAACACAACTGGCATGGGGCGCTTTCGGCAAACTAGCATATATCTTGAAAAACACCTCCAATCCTGTAAACTTAAAGAAAAAGTGTATAACACATGCATACTACCAGTTTGTACCTAAGGCTTGGAGACAGTAGCCCTTACCAAAAAATCTGTTGAAAATTAGAAACAACGCAAAGCGCAATGGAACGACTCATGCTTGGAATATCACTGAGAGACAAGATTAGAAACACCGAGATAAGACGTAGAACGAAGATTAGGGATGTTGTGGAAGAAATTACAAAAATGAAATGGCGCTAGGCAGGTCACGTAGCCCGATATAATGACAACAGGTGAACACGGAGATTTCTAGAATGGAGACCAATGACGACAACAAGAAGCATAGACCCGATCAAGACCTGTTCAAGACCTGTTCAAGACCTGTTCAAAACTTGGTCGAGACCTGATCTAAAGCTGATTGATCATATGTCTACATTTTACGATGAATAAATCTTGAATTGTTTGTCCTTGTTTGAGTTGTCTCAATTTACTTTGGATGTTTCTGTTTCATTATAAATTATCTTTTTAAATTTTAATAATTGGTAAAATGTATGTAAAATCAATCAACTTTAGATCAGGTTTTGAACAGGTCTTGAACAGGTCTTAAACAGGTCTTGAACAGGTCTTCCTCGGGTCTTGATCGGGTCTTGAACAGGTCTAGAACAGGTCTTATTGTTTGTTTTCTATCTCAACGTGTTCCCCGTCCCCACCGTTTTCCAACGATACCTTACACGTCACGATCCGATGAGCCGTCGCGCCTCCACCACAAAAAGAGACAAAAATAAGCAGAATGAACCTTAACGATTCCTTATGGGATTTAACATGGGAAAATACGCAGAACCCGTGCTGCCCTTTTACTACCTAGTGGCGGGAATTTTTCCCTTTTTTTGTATTATATTTGCTATTGTGTTAACCTGATCGATATAGACAATTAACTTTCTTTGAAACCAAACTGGAACAGTGGGATAACGTTTTGTTGAATTATTAGTTTTTTAGTACAAGCACTACAGTTTTGATATTACAGGTAGTAAAGATGTGAGTCTGTATAATCAAACTTTATTTGGTTTTCATTGATTTGCTATCATTATAACCTCTGCTATTTTCCATTATATTGGAACATTTTCAATGTTTATGATATATGTATTAGAATAATTATTTTTACTGTTGATTTTCTTAGAACCTGTTTCAATATTTTTTCTCTCACCACATTATATTCAAGAGTTTTTTTAGTATTAATAGTTTGTTTTATTTTCTTTTAGATTTCTCAGAGGTTACACCTTTAATTCCTGTTTCTTCTTCATTCGGATGAAATGCTTTCCAGATCTTTCCACATTTTTGTTTACTTATTCTTTCTATAAATAAGCTAATTTGACAAACTTGTTAACGATTTCGTTATCTTCTATTCCCGAATAGCTTCTGATTCATACAATTCTAATATTTGTGAATTTGTAACTCATGTTACGGGTCTAAAAGATCTTCGTTAGCATTTTATTACTAAAACCACATGTATCTAGCATTTGCAATAAATATATTTTCAATTATAATTATTTCTAGACCAACCATACCAGCGGCGAAGAAAATATAGCGGATTTCAATGCAGTCAACATCGCGTACTCAGCATACCAAAACTGGGTGCAGTATAACGGTCGAGAATCCACTCTTCCAGGTATAAATTATACCCCCAACCAACTATTCTGGATAATGAGCAGCACGTACATGTGCTTCCAACCCAAGTTGTCAGAAAAGGACACGTTTGTCGGAAAAAGTAAACACCATGGTATTCCCGAGTTTAGAGTGGTGGGAGGGATACGGCATTCACCGTATTTTGCCAACGACTTCAATTGTCCTGTGGGTTCTTATATGAATCCAAAAGACAAATGTAAAATATTTGGAGATTAAAGAAAAACGGAAATATTAATAAAGTTTGTTATGTTTTGTAATATATAGTATTTTTCGTATTAGTTTTTTTTTCGTTTAAAAATATTGTTAAATAAATGCAAACTTACCGATTATTTTTATCAATAACGAATTTTTGTTTCCCGTTTTCAAAAAAATACAATATTCTGTTTTAGTGACTCTATTCTCCTTGGCACATGCCATCGGGAAGGTTCTCAAATCTTATTCTCTATAATATGGAATCTTAATTTAACTGCTATAAGAGGGTTGTCTTTTGAGTTTTGCATATAGACATAAAGACAAAAAATATAAAGACTCAAAGTATTTTATTGCTTTACAAAATATGTCCCACTAAGATAGATACACTTTTGCCTACGTTGAAACCAATTGGTGAAACAATTATTCCAATCTTCAGTTGACACCTGCAAAATAGCTGTTTTTGATCTTTTGAAACGTAAAAAAGTCGATTGGGCTTAGGTAGGGGCTATACGGTAGATGATTTAACAATTCGATGGATTGAAACTCCAAAAGCTCAAAAAAAAATTTTGAGCTGTGTGAGCACTTGTATTGACCTTGATACAAGGTGATACAAGATCCTAGGATTGTTTTCATTAGTTTTCTTTTTATCGCTCTTGTTTCCATCGCGTATCTGATAACTAGCCTTATGTCTTAGAAAGCTAGCCTTCTTAGCTAGCCTTAGTCTTATAAGAGGTTCCGACACTTGGGAGCACCCCCTCCAGATCCACTCTGACGTCGCAAGTCCCGCTCATCAAGATGGCTGCCTCTTCTTATCGGTCTGTTAATTATTCTTTTTTGGGTTCTGTTAATTCGTCTTCTTTTCAGTCTGCCAATTCTTTTTCTTATTGGTATTAGTCTTCTTCTTCCTTTTGTCTATAAAATAGGCTGTCACAGTTCTTTCTTATCTGCCAAAATGTAAAAGGGGGTGTAAAGCTACTTCTCATCTAGGTTATCTAAGACGCCAGACGCCAGACAATATTTCACAAGATCTCCTGGAAGAAAAAAATAGACAAATGGACATTCTAAAGACTAATTTGGCTCATAAAAATGCCAAAAAATACTTAGAAATGCTTTTTTATGGTTATTTTTGTTTTTTTAGTTGTCTTTTTTTTACAATTTTTATGGTTTTCTTTGTCAAGTGATTATGAATAAAAACAATTATATGTCATCGTGTAACGTTGTAAACGATTCATTAGAAAAATGTGATTATACCGTTGTAAAAATAGGGAAAAAAATATAAAAAATAGGCGACAATTTGGTAAGAAAAATTCCAACGATACAATAATAAAAATGTTAATAGAAGAGCATAAACCATATTAACATTTATTAGTTGAATAATCCCAACCGAAGTGTGAACTTTGACCTCCTTTCTCCAAGAATACACATTAAAAAGCTCCAAAGATGGGCGTGTTATGTCATCGGAAGGACATCTTCATTTTCATCACAGCATTAGCAGCTTATCCCAATTAATAGGTTAACAAATTACTTTTCTCCAAACGATTTTTACTAATTTATTATACATTAATAAACGTTAAGTTGTCTATTTTAGTTATTATATATTAGCGTAACCGGTATGTGACGCATTAATTACTAATAAATTATTAGTTAACAAATAAGTTAAATAAACAGTACAGTGTCGTACATTAGGACAGGTACATGATGTTAAAGCTCAGTATATAGTTTGCTTTTTATATTTTGCACATAAATATAGACTAAACTTATTTAGCCTACGAAGTTTTTTAAGGTTAATGTATTTTTTCATTCGAACTCTGTAAATAATCTTTCTCTGTTGAATGTCTGTCCATCCTCTCACTCATATTTGAGCTTAAGTTTTCCCTTTCTTCTCTTTCTAACTGGCTTGTTTAGCATAGATATTTTAAAGTGGTTATTTTCATCCATTTGTATCACGTGCCTCATATACTTCGGGCATTTAAAAGCCTGTGGACTTCAAACTTATGTGACATTCTTCATAGACTTTCTTCTTTAACTACGTCGTAAATATGGTCTTTAATACCATTCTTAAAAAAAAAAAAATCGCTCCAAATCTCGCTTCACTACTACCACTGGCGCAGTGTCTATTAGTTTTAAATAGATCTAAAAGACTCTCTGGTCCTCGCACTTTTCTCATTATCATTTAAATTAATTTCATCAGTCCTTTTGGTATTCCACAGCCGATCGTAGCCAAATATAATTTTACCCGTATATAGTGGCACTTTATGTCAATTACCTGCGTTTTTTAGGTATCTATCTAATGAATGAAATATACAGCATTTTTTCATATAAAAAAGTTTTCACGTCATTCAAGATTTACGTGGTCAGAACCCCACAGCGTTGCCCAAACATCAGAATAGTTAGTAAGTGAGGAATTTTTAAAATATCAACTATTTGTCAAACTATTATATCAAGAGTATCAAGACTACTGCAACACACTAAAATACATAAGAAAATATTTTAATACAAAATTATATATTCCAAATTTTAAACTTACTTTGTTTAGGGCTTTAATAGTAAAAACGTCCCGCCATTATTTTTTGTTAAAAATAATCTATTCTATATAAACGCTTATCAGCTTTCTACAGACTATTTATTTGTTTTGGCATATCACAATCACAATACACAACAATAATTAGTTTTTAAAGTTATTAATCTAAATTTAATATGTACTTATAAATACAATTTATTAATATATATTATATTATGGTCAAATTGTGTAGAAAATCAAAACATAAACAAAATTCCTATTCTAAAAAAGCGGCAACACTTTATAGACTTTTGCCATATGCTCAACTGTCAATAAAATTTGAAGTATTTCCGTATCAGTTGGGTGCAATTGTCTAATATATTTAATTAAAATTATTATTTTGTGGAATATTGTACTTGAAGAGTTATTTCATAAAATTTATATTATTTTAATAATAAATGTTTTTGGTTATATAATCAATATATTTCAAAATTTCCAATATAATGATGATTACATTTTTCTGATTATTACACCATGTTGACGGCTATGAAAAATCGAGCAGTTTCGTATGGGTTTCGTATTATTAGCTGTGTGGAGAAAATTTGAACTCTAAGATTGATGTTCTGGAAATTTTAAATACAAGTGACGACACTTTGTATAAATCGTGACGTGCAAGTATTTTACTTTGAAAAATGGTATAATGAAGCTTCTTTGATGGTATCCGGTGGTATTTAGCATGGTAATGAGAGTCGTTCATACAGTATCAGGGAGAAAACTTTATATACTGCCCTCTAAAATTTATATAGTCAGGCAGTTCCCTCTGCTTGCTGTAAAAGGCGACTAATTGGAGCAGCTGTCAGCTGACCGTTAATCAGCTTCCTAACCTGTCCCCGTATGATAGTAAATACTCCCAACTATCATACAGTATCCTCTCTTTCCCATGATAGACGTCTTAAGGAAAAAAATTCTGACAACCTCTCTATAAAGGCGGGAAAAAGGTTGTGAAAAGAGTTGACTGCAAGATTTTAAATTTTAGCTGATAGGTAGTCTCATACAGATAATTTGCTACTGGTTATAGACTGAATAGCTTTAATTATTTTTTCTGTGATTTAAACGACACCAACTATTTGTACAGCACCAACCGGAAAAATTTTATCACAGCTGTATCAGCTCTATAATGCTCTAAATTATAAAGAATTGTCTTAAAACTCGCTGAATTGTAGAAAAATATTTAAATTTTTTTTGTTTATTGCTACTTTTGTTTCCTCTCGTGAGTCGTCGCTGTCCCGATCTGTCTCTTAAGATAATTCTTCGTATAATTAAACATATATGCGAATAATAGGAAATATGTTCGGTTCCCGTAAAGGAAAGCTTGGTTCTCGTAGTTAACGTTACTACAAAGATCATGGGAAGTAAATGAGTCAATTTATGCCTGCTTTAGGATTTCGAAAACTCCTAAGATAAGAGATCTAAGGCTGGTACAATATTTTTCTGCTCTGGTAAATAATTATGCTCTGAAAGACCAACAATATTTTTATTCAAAGATAAGCCAGACAAGGTAGTGTCTTCTTTATTTCCAACTTTGTTCGGATTCGAATTGGAGTTCCAATTGGAGGGAGAAACCATCAAACATTGTTATATATCTATATGACATATCAATTGTGGCTGAGAGTATCAAAGATTCGTTGATTCATCATCAATGAACTGGACAAACAGCAGAAGAATTGCTACATGTCGTGGAAAATCGAGAAACATATCGGCAAATTGTCATAGATTTTATTCTTCTTGTGATTCTTTCTCCTATCGGAGGTTGGTTATCATCTTAGCTATTCATATTTTATTGGTACTTCTCTAAAAGATCTACTGACTGCAAATATCACTTTAGAAGGTTTCTTAGCCAGGAAATTCTTCTTCGACCTATTCTTCTTTTACCCTTGATCTCTTTTGCATGAGTTTTAGTATTTCATACTTATCACCTCTGGTAATGTGGTATAAAAATTCTAATTTTGCAATAATGAGCACGATACTGAAAGAGCAAGATACTTCCTCTACTATTAAAGTTGGATGGTTGTAAATTCTAGTGATGGTATATATAAAATTTTACATAAGATCATTATTGATACACGATCGTCTGTAGGACGTTACGTAATTATTTTACATTGTCACCTGTTTGTTTTTGTTTTTTTTTTTTCATTTTCATTGTTCAACGTCCCTGAAGAGAACTTTAGTTGACAAATATTTTAATAGTTATTACAATATGGTAGTGTGAGTAAGTATGTCAAGAAAAACATCTGTCGGTCAGCAGCGTTGTTAATATTATAGCCACTTTGTCAACACTGCTGTTTTATTTATTTTGAATTATGAAAATAATATTTTTTAAATGTCTGTGATTTATATTATATTTGATTTATATTATATTTCACAGAATCAATAGATTACTTCTGTATAGGTATGTTATTTAATTTACTTAAATTTAAAAGCTACAAAAATAATTAGTTCAAAATCAAAAACTCTATAAGAAGAA